GAGAACTCTTTCTTTCTGCTTGACTAATCAGTCTTTTTTACCACACTACATAGAACAACCCCGAGAGACTGGATTCATGTCAGGATATCCTTCTAATTCCTTATACTAGATAAAACTGTCAAACTTGTATTTATAGACGTTCATTCTAAGTCCTGATTTGGCCATTCTCCATGTAGAACACTGACTCTCCTGAAAGTGTTGCAATATCAGTGATTAAGTTTCATCTCTTAAAATACACTAAGATCCCTGGCCTTCCTGATCCCTGAGATGTCCTCATTTTCACACTCTTCAGTGTTCCACAAACCCTCCAGTCATTCATTTACATTCATTTCATTATTAGTGCCCATGGCCTATCTCAGATGTTGTAAATTAGCAACCTTTAAAAATACTGTTTGGCCCCCACCGATTTTAAAAATATCTGAATAAACTGTTATTTTTTTTATTGATGGTTCACCTTAAGATGCATTTTTTGTGGATTCTTTTGAAAAACTGGATGATCTTTCCATAGTATGTTCAATGAGAACAGAGGAATGTGCCCACCATTGTACATGATGCACAGACCTCTCATCCGTTCCAATCTACACCAAACCCTATGGTGGGGCTTTTTCTTTTCAGTTTTGTACTATCTGGGCCTATTAGCTTTGAATTTATGACTCTCAGCTAAGCTCATTCATTTTTAGTAGGTTTTATAAGTTAAGCTCTCAGGTTTTAACCTCATCCCTCTATTTCTGTGTTTTGGAAAGCCCATCATTATAACTCCCTTGTTTCCAAATGCTCATTTTCAGAAAGTAAAATATATATATATATGGCTGGAAAAAAATGTAATCTGCTAATATTGCTAATTTCATTTTTTGTAAAAGGAAATTAGTATTGGTAGAAAAATGATTATATATGTGAACCAAGTCATTCCGCTTTCTTAGTAAATAAGAGAATCATGTTTGCCAGTTTCTGAAAATGTTTGAGTCATCAGATGGTAGGTCATCATTCTGAAATAAAAATCATGCTTTTTCTTCCATATTTACTGCCCACTTTATTACTGGCCAAGACTCGATTCTTATTTTCATACAAACAAATGAAACATAATCTTTTGATAAGAAGGGGTAAAGTTAGACCTCGGGACCTTAAAGCTTCTTAATTTTTCAAAAATGAGGAAAAAAAACTGCCTTTGCAATTATTTTCTAGAATTAGACATTATTCTCATCTAGATTTCCAGAGTAAGCATTTTAAAGTGAAGCATCAAATTAAGCTTTTTGAAACCTATTATGTTACCAGTAGGCAAAAATTGGTAGCATTGTGTTTTCTAGCAGCTTTGAGAGTAAGTGTGGGCTCTTCCAGGCCTCCTGCAAGAAGATTACAGATGGAAGGAAGGGTAGAGAGTAAATGCCAGGCTCACACATTGAACCTACAACGGTGGGACATAATCCTTTCATATTTATAACTAGTTTCAGCAAAGTGCCCCCAGGTAGTTAGAAAAATAGGCTTTCTTCATCCTTTTTGGCTCTTCTCATTTGGATGAAAAATTGAGTTTCTAGATTACAGTGTAGCCTTGTAGTTAAAACTTAGGTAAATCAGTACCAAATTCCAGTTCTGTCTTCTCTACCCGTGTGATGATAATTAAGAAGTACAGCATTTAAGCCTGCCATGGAATTTAGGATATTATCTGAGAGGGAGTTTTTCTCTAAATACTTTAATGAGATGATGAAAGATAGTAATTCAGTGGCGTGGGTTTTTTTTTCCTTTCTATTTGCAGTATGTTAACCAAGGTTATGTTTTTTGAAGAGAAATCCGCATTATTAGGATGAGTAAAGTAGAAACTGCTATAGTACACAAATCCCAATACCTGGCATTCAGTAGAATCCAATAAGATGGCTTTGGTTGGAAGGCAATTTCCCAAATGTCCATTCATATGAATGGATAGGTTTCTTCCATTTTGTGGTTCCATCCTCTTTCGAATACTCAAGTTCTCTCTATTCACCCAGCAAAATGAGAAAGGGAGCTCAAAGAAGATATACCTACTTCTTAATTTTTTAGTCCAAAAATGGCAACCATCATTTCTGCTCACTTTTCATTGACCAAATATGGATGATGGCCGTGTCTAATTGCAATAAATGGTAGAAAATATAATCTAACTATGTTTAAGAGAATAATAAATGGTTTTAGTAAATGCATAACAGTTTACTACAAATTTATTTGAAGCTGACAATGATTGTTCTGTTTAAGAAAATAATTAGACTGTGACTTGCTGCACATTCTATGTCATGTCCCTTTTGTGTCCCTTATGAACTATATGGGACAATGTTCTTAATTGTGTATGATTCTGAGCCAAGAGTGCCATGGTACAGTAGTCTTTTATCTGTATTTTTCCTTTCCATTATTTGAGTTACCTACAGTCCACTATGTCCAAAAATATTAAATGAAAATGTTCAGATATAAACAAATCATAAGTTTTAAATTGGATACTGTCCTGAGTAACTAGATGAAATCTTGCACAGTCCATCTTCATCTCACCCAGGATATGAATCATACAGTCTAGCATCTCCACTATGTATGTGCTACTCATCTGTTACCCAATGGCCTGTTAGTCACTGAGAAGCCATCTCCATCATCAGATCAGCTGTCATGTTTTACTAAATGATGGTGCTTCATAATAAGCCAAACTGAAAGAGTAGTGATGTGCACAATTTGGATAAGCCAAAGAGATGCTATAAAATGCTTCCTTTTAGTGAAAAGGTAAAAATTCTTAATAAGGAAAAAATGCATACCTAGGTTGCTATATCTCTAATAAGAACAAATAGGAAAAAGCATAGCATATAGAGGGTTTGGTAGTAACTGTAAGTTTAGGCATCTACCTGAGGGTCTTAGAATGTACATGCCTGAAGATAAGAGGAGAAAGACTGTATTTAAATGCCAATGTACCTGAATACTACTTTTGATCCCACCTATATTTAGAGGGCAGAAGGCTTAGATTCTCCCAATGTGTCAACGAAAGTTGTAAGAGGATTGGTATTTGGGATTGACATTAACACCTCAGGTGAACCTTGTTGATGAGAAGATTAGGTAATAACACAGGGTAGAGATGAAGATAGAAAAGGGGGAGGAAAAAGTATGCAAAACTGTCTTATAAGTGAAATTATTAAAGTTTTAAATACTGTGACTTGAGATTGTTCTAACATCTGTAAGGAAAGTGAAATACAGGTTGCTCTATCTTTGTGCCTTCATTGTGGCTTCTAAGTGACTAAGTGAAATTTCTTTTCTCTATGACTAAGTGTCTATATTAATTAAGATAAGATCAGGCTACTCTAACACAAAGATATAACATCATCAGTAGATTAAAAATCCAAAAGTAATTTCTTTCTTATTTAAAAGTCTAAGGTGAGTATTCTAGGCTGGTGGACAACCCAGCTCCATATGGTCATCCAAGGACTTGTGTTCCTACAAAAGAGTTTTTTGCCAGACTCTTAGATCTGGTCATCACTTACATGATCTCACTGGATCATCTGGGCTCCACCCATCCAAAAGGGGGAAAAGAATGTGGAAAAATCATTCCTAAGTGCCTTAAAAAGTCAACAGGTGAGCAGTACATACCTCATCACTTCTGTTCATATTGTACTGGTGAGAGCTGTCCTTTGTCCACATCTAACTACAAAAGTGACAGAGAAATACAGTTCAGTTGGGCAGCCAGGCTTTATGCCACAATTCTTTCACTGTGGAAAAAGGCAAAAATAGCTCTTAGAAGACAGTTGGTAATGTCAACTGAAGAGTCCATGCAATCAAAGAAAGAAAGTGGTAGTTAGAACAGAATCATGCTTTTACTGCAAGACAAAAGAAAAGCATAGTGAGTTTCAAACTTTGATATTATCAGTACTTATTTAACTGGCACTGATGGATAAGCCATAAAATATATCTGCATGTTCTTCAAGCATTTTAATTTCACTTAGGATATGAAAAGAATACTTACATTAAATATAAATATATTCATATGTATTAATGTATATTTAAATGCATACTAAAAATATATTTTCATATATGAATATTTGCTGTGAAGGAGATTTAAAGGACAGAAAATCACTGCCAATCAAATTCATGAGAACTGCTAAGTTTTGTTTTTGTTTTTCGGATCCTGTCTCCTCTTCACTTTTAAAAACAAATGCTCTTACTAGAAAAAAAAAATAAAGAAGAAAGTAATATTAAGGAAGTATATCCCACCATATATTTTAAAATATTTTTAAAGAATAGTACTTAACTTAATACTGGAACATAAATAGACTCCTGTAGTCAGATAACTCTATCAATTTTTCAAAATCATACTACATCTCAGTTTCTTTGCACATGATTTACAATGTTCACAGATAGCTTTTCCCCTGAAGATGTCTTATTATTCTTTCTGTCTTCTGATAGTGATAGTGAATAGTTACAATGTGCTATGCTCATTGCAGCATTTGGATATTTAACCTCTTTAGGCCACCTTTGAAATAAAACCAGAAGAAGGTATTTTGAAAGAGTTTACCAAAGCCTTTCAGGTGGAAGATGTGTGTAACCTGATTTAAACATTATGCAACTTATACGTGTATCAAAATATTTTATTATCTCATTAACATGTACATTTTTAAGTTTCTATGTGCCAGTTAAAAGCAAATATAATTTTAAAAATAAATTAATAGATAAATTTTTAAAAATGCTCTATCAGTTGGAAAGATGTTGATAACCAAGTTTTCTGTATACTTACATCCCAGGATTTCTGTCATTTTAAATGAGTCTATTTTGCCTCAACTTGCAAACCAGCTTAATTTAATTCTAAATGAAATCTCTAAATTTTTCATTATGTTTTATACAAACTTAGTAATTTCCAGAAAACGGTTCTTGTTAAATGAAGTTTAGCAAGAAATTCTGATACACAAACAACTGTCATCCTTTGCAATGGCTTCATTATCCAGTGACATGGTTAATAATATCATTTTACTTTTTTTGAATATCTCTTTGTCTTTTTCTGGTTGTTTCAGCAACAGTTTTCCTGGAATTTTGGAAAAGACGTCGAGCAGTAATTGCTTATGACTGGGATTTGATAGACTGGGAAGAAGAGGAGGTTTGTATAATTTACCTCAAAATTTCTTTTTTAAAAAATCAAATCACTGAGAAACAACACCACCCTCCCCGCCCCCTTGAATCTTCCCTCTTCACTGGGTGACTGAAGTCATGTCCACTCACCCTCCATACCTATTTTCACAGGAAGTCTCAAGCTATATAAAAAGGGTCTGGCAGAATTTTTTTAAGACAACATTTTGGTTCCATAATAGGTTAAAATTCCATGAATAGTGAAGCATTTCACTTATAGGTAGAGAGGTACCAGATTTTTTTTAGTAGTGTTAAATATTACCCATTTTCTTTACTTTAGTAGAAGGCATTTATTCATTTTATAGCTCTTGGCATGTGGAAACAAACCTCAAAAGAGAACTATTCCAAGGAGGTGTTTCTACCCAGCTAGGCAGAACAGTACTCTGGATTATATCAAATGGCAAAGGATTAGGAGAAACCACTTCTTTGCAGCCTCCTTGGTGAATGTGGCTAAGTGTAGGGCAGCTGCAGATGCATCAGACTTCACTTCCTCACCATGCTCCCTAACCCATCAGTCTTTCTCACTGCCATCTAGGCCATTATGCTGTGCTCTTTCCTAACTCTGACTGGTTCTGATACTCTTTTCTGCCCTGTTCATGCTGGGCTTGATTAGTACATTCATGCATTGGGCACAGCTTTCCCTGGACAGTTGATGGAGGCTTCAACACCTCTTTCTCTCCCTTAATCATTATCTTTTTCCTGTTCTCAGTCCCATTTCATCAGAGCTTTGCTGTACCTGTGAGTCAGATAAATTAATTACATAATATGCTAAAAGCTGTTGAATGGATTTTTTTTCCCAGAGATATGTATATGCATTTTTGCATATTAAAATGAATCTTCTAGAAATATCAATGATTAGAATATTAGTCCTGGGGTAGGCTTGGTGGTGATATAATTTTGGGAGACTTTTGCAGGGTGGGGGTTGTCCTTCAATTCATGCCTCATGAATAGCTACCGATCACATGAATGAGCTTAGGTAGTTTTTTATTTGGTTTGGTTTTGGTTTTGATTTTGTCCTCTATTTTTAAGATGTACAACATGGTGTTTTGATATATGATATGAAATTTCCATTAATCCTTATTCTTCTGATAAGACCTCCTTTTATCTTTTTATAAATATTCTCCAGAAAATAGTTATCTGGGTTTGAAGAACGTGCCCAGGCAAACTAAGGAGTTGACAGGCAGCAGCTAGACTGCATTCAGGACTTGCTCCAGGGCGGGCCATTCTGCTGTTTGGGGTGATATATGTACATGGGTACAATTCCCAATGGGATGGAACATTTTTTCCCACATTTAAGTCACACTAAGCCACTGCTCACCTTTGAACACTTTTTCATTTCTAAAAAAAAAAAAAAAAAGAAAGGTCTTCCTAGATTTTCCCCTTTCAGCCATAAAGTATGGCACTATTTTAAGTAGCCTGAACCAAACCAGTCTAAAGTCATCAAGGGTACTTGTGGTAGGCCCAAGATGTGGGTAGATTTATAGTACATATATCCAGAGTAAGTCTGGAGCCTCCTGCCTTCCAATCCCTGGTAAAAAGCTTGGAACACTGGATCAGTCTTTCAGTTAGCTCTCACTTAGCACACTTTCTTCTTTCAGGAGCCTGCCTCCATGGCCTTGGGCTGTTGCAGTTCTCAGTTTAGGATTCATCGTGGAAATTCCTCTTACTTCTAGCCCGTGGCTCTCATTTCACAATATAGAAAATCTCAGACATGATCACTGCATTCTTCTTTAGGAGGAGCCAAGCGTATTGGTTCATGAAGGTTGCCATAACGAAGCGCCACAGGCTGGGTGACAACCTGTAGGAATTTATTTGCTCATGAACCCTGAGGCTGGAAGTCTGAGATAAGGTCAGCATGGATGCTTTCTTCTGAGGGCCCTGAGGGAAGGAAATGATCTCTACCTCTCTCTTTGGCTTGTACATGGCCATCTTCTCTCTGGGCCTACACATCATCTTCCCTCTGTGCATGTGTGTATCCAATATCCAAATGGATAAAATATCCAATGTGTATAATTATTCTCTTCATACAAATTATATTTGATTAAGGCCCATGCTAATGTCCTTATTTTAACTTAATTAAAGATGCCAACTCCAAATAAAGTCACATTCTGAGGTACTGAAGGCTGACTTCAATATGTGACTTTGGTGGCTGTGGGGAAAGACACAATTCAGCCCGTAATATGGAGGAACACAGGCCTGGATCCATGATTGGCTTCAGTTCTTGGATGACTGGCCCAAGGCTCTTGACAGCCCTTACAGCCTAATGAATTGAAAGTGTTTCCCAATGAAGCAGAGGATTCTAGGTATGTTTATATCCCCAAGTGTAACTGCCTGATATCAGTGAAAGAGGGTAAACTCATTTTTTATAACTTCATCTCCTGCACAGGGACCCTATATGCACTGTCACCTGTTCTCAGAGCCTGTCTTCTGTCAACTCCTTATTGCTTTCTCTCAGGATCTTCATCTGAGTCCTCAGTCTTCCTCCCTGGATGAACTCCTATCTCCATTTCACCAGTTTCCACTCATTTTCCATCGTTTTCCAAGGCACTCAACTAGAACATGTACTTAATTAACCAGAACCACTCCAGTGTACCCACCTGCCAATTACCTTTTTTTCTAGTTCCATAATTGCTTTTCGGTCAGAAGCTCGTCACATTTGGATGGAGCTCAGCTAAATGAAACAAAATCTCAGCTTGATTTAGAACTGGAGAAGCCTTGATTTCGGCTTGATTGGAAAGGTGTTTCCTAATTTTCAGAAACAATTAAGAATGTATTTAAAAATCCATTGGTTAAAGGTGAATAACTTCTGTGAGAGTATTAAAAAGTAGGCACACATGTTTTTAGCCACCTCGGTCTAAAAATGTGAAAAAAAAATAATTGGAGAAAACTAACAATTATTTTGTTATGATACCTCACAAAATTGGTTTTGAACATCTTTCTGTTTAGAACCCTTTTTGTCTTGGTGTTCATGTCACTGCCTGGTAATAAAAGTAAAAGCTTATTGATTGTTTCAAGCCACAACACACAGGACAGATAGTCCCTTTTAAAATATTATTCTCAGCTTCTTTCTTCAATCATAGTTTAATAAGATGACAGAAAAACATTACTGTTGGTCTAAATTACATTGCTTTTGATAACAGTAAATCTTGATTTAAATCCTATAGGTATTCTTCAAGTAGCCAATTTCTAAGCATTTAAGCCTAGATTGCCAACCCACTTCATTGGTTGTTGATTAATGTGGCAGCTGCTGTTTTACAGTGGGGGTAAAGGAATCTTTTTTTTTTTTTCTTATTATGTGAGCACCTCTTCAGTGCATAAAAATGTGTCTGTTCATTCCTCAGGAAGAAATACGACCACAGTTTGAAGCCAAGTATTCCAAGAAGGAACGGATGAATCCCATTTCAGGAAAGCCAGAACCTTATCAAGCATTTGCCGATAAATGCAGCAGACTTATTGTTTCTGCATCGGGGATATTTTTTATGGTTTGAACAATTTTTTTAAAAAACTCTTTAATTTGTTTTATAGAGCACAGACCTGTGGTACAGTAACAACAATAATCAATTTTAGGCACTTGATAGTTCGGTAGAGTAATACAAAACGGTATTACACATTACGTTACTTAATCCTTACAACTCCATTAGGTGGTCAGAGATAATATTGCTATTTCCATTCTACAGATGGATCAACTGAGACTCCAAAAGTTTAAAGGGCTTGCTCGGGGCCCACCAGTAAGTAGCTAAGAGCTTATAACCTCCACTCTAATCTGATGTTCTTTCCACTTGTCATGTTCCCCTATGCCCTGCTAAAAGGAATTAAAAATGTGAGATAGAATTAATAGTGGCATTTTTTAAAAACATATTTATTTATTTTTATATGGTGCTGAGGATCAAATCCAGTGCCTCATGCATGTGAGGCAAGTGTTCTACCACTGAGCTACAACCCCAGCCCAAGAGCAGTGTTTTTTAAACTTTTGCCTTGACCACCCAGTAGGAAATCCATACTGTGTAATAAACCTGTATATACTATGCAGATAGATTTATAAAACTTAATAATAACTAAAAAATGTTCACCTTTATAATATGTAATAAACACTGATTTTTTTTTATTATAGTCTATTTTTAATGCCAGATATAACCTCCTAAAATTGCCTTCCCAACTCACTATGGTCACATCAGTTTGAAAAATATTAACTTCGACCTGAGTCATTAGCTTTTTCTGAAAGCTAGCTGTTTTGTAATCAACTTTGACACCATTAATTGCTAAACAAAACACACAAGTCAGAAAGGACATTTTAGAATAATAAAGGATGATGGATTAGGAGCCTCATTTTCTCTCTTTTCAAATGACAAGTATTTCAATATATGTCCTAGACCCCTAGGGTGGGAAGGACAAGACTACTGCAAATCCAGACACCTACCCACCTGGTGCCAGTGAAGAGAGTAGAGAGATGAATGGTGAGGCTGGTTGTCTAGGTCCTCAGCTCTCATGATGAAAACTCAAACCCTTTTACAGACGCTGCTTTGCAAGCAATTGTGCCCTGCTTTGTCTTCTACACCCACATTCATAGTTATTATCTTGTTTCTCACTTATGACCTAAAGACATAGATTCAGCTTTCCTGCTCTACGGATGGGGGGCCTGAAGCCCAGAAGATGGAAACCATGGAGAGGACAAGTGTGCCAAGGTCACACTGCTGGGTAATAGCTGAGCCAGCGCTCTGCTTTGTCCTCTGATCCTAAGTCCAGTAGGCCAACGTCAGTGTAGATTTCACCTGGCTCCCTATGGATAACTCTAGAATTAAGATGTGGGCAGGTTTTTGCCTTGTTGAATTATATTATTATTTTGGTCAGTTCTACCCAGGACTTATACTCAAGTTTTAGAATTTGGCACTCTTAGAAGTGAGCAGAAAATCAAGTTTGTGCAAAACAGACTATGAAGAAAGGAATTTCCAAATTGGGAGAGGCCACCCTGAGGACTGGCTTTAAAGTCCAGCTCTGGCAATTAAGTGAGCTAAGTTCTCTAAAACAGATTAGGGGAGTCCTAATGAAAGTCCAAAACTTTTTGGAGTCTCAGATATCCATTATTTTATGGAAGAAAAAAATATGCCATATTGTTCTCAAATACCACAAAATCTGCAGAGAAAGATGCTTCAATCTGTGTGTACATCTGATTAGTAAAATGTGTTCCTTTCACGTGGTTGATTTATTCAACAACAAATAATAGCATGATCTAGGCACCTGCAATTAAGTCAAGGTCCTGAAGAAACTGTGGTGAGCAAATACTGTCCTTGGCCTCCAGAGCTCATGTAGGGGAGATGGATAGATAGTGGTAGAAATTTTAAGTAGTATCCTGAAAGAAGATATGCCCATATACTATAGGTACCATATAAGAGCAACAAGGAAAATAATCTGGGAGTCATGAAAACACATATTGGTGAAATGGTATCTGAGGTGAGATGTGAAGAAAGATGAGTAGGTGTTAACTAGGCCACGTACATGTGTGTGCCCCAAAGTGCATGAATGTCTGGCAGGAGATGGGTGGGTAGGCATTGTAGGCAAAGAAAATAGTCTTGAAGATTAGTGGTGCTTAGCTCATTTGAAGCAAAGAGAAAAGGGTATGGGATTCCCAGAGAGCAGGGACAATGGTGTCCTGTGGGGCTGGAGGGAATCTTGCAGGCCACAGTAAAGGCCTTTTTTTTTTTAATCCTAGAATAATAGAGAATGAATAAATAATTGTAAATGGAGGCATGAGATGATTTCCGTAATAAATACTTATTGGTCTGCTCCATTAGATATTCTGCTTTAAAAAAAAAATCCCACAGCTTATAGAAATCCTCAACTGTCAAGCCATGTGGTTTTTCTATTTAGTAGGGAAGGAAAAAAATACAGAAAAGAGAAAGTATAAACCACAATAAAAAGTAGGCATTTCCCTTCAATCAGTATCACCCTTGCTTTATTTCTTTTTCTTTCTTTCTTTCTTTTTCTTTCTTTTTTTTTTTTTTTAAATCAGCAAATTTTCCAAGAGTATGAATCGCCTTCCCGAAACATTCCACCAAAAGGCTCACTGAATCTCCTCTGTCTTCCTGCCAGATCTGTGTGGTGATCGCTGCTGTATTCGGAATTGTCATTTACCGTGTGGTGACTGTCAGCACTTTTGCTGCCTTTAAGTGGGCGTTAATCAGGAATAACTCTCAGGTTGCAACCACAGGGACTGCCGTTTGCATCAATTTTTGTATCATTATGTTACTGAACGTGGTAAGTGAACCGCAAGGTAATTAATCTCATGGGTCAAAATAGGTGGGTTGCAATGATAGTTTTCAGTTGCTAAAGAGACCTGGTCTCAAAAAGATGGGTTAGTTACGTAGCACTGTTGGCCTGTAGCAAAATGTCTGGCATAAAGATGCTCTCAGATCTGGAGGTTTAAAAGGCTTAATTGAAATCTAGGCTTCAGGATTTTCTTAGTGTAAGATTAGACCAGGTACTTAACCTCACAGAACTTTAGTTTCTTTGTTGATCAATGAGATAACACTGGATTTCCCTTTGGGGAAATTTAGAGAAGCAATGCATTTAGAATATCCACATCAGAGCTGTGTCATAGCTCAGCGGTATTAGTTTCTGTTTCTTTTTTTTATTTTGAGGATTGAGAAGGTAGTTAGTATCTAAAACATTTCCTTGAGATCACCCTGCAAAGAAAAAATCAGGATGATTTCACACTTACCAATTGCACATTTCAACCCAGACCTCTCTCCAATCCCTCAGCCCCAAATTCATAGGCCAAACTGCCGCTACTCCACCATCTCCAACACTTTAAAACTGGACTCCCCTCTTCCCAGAATCAGCTCCTCCCACAGCCTCCCCCTTGCACACACTCCCAGCCTGGCTCCTTCCTGGATTACTTCAGTGGCTTCCTAACGGGGCTTCAGCCTGCAGGTTGGCTCCCCTCAATCTAGGCCCAACACTAAGCCGGGGAGAGCATCTTACAAATACATCAGCTCACGTCTCCCCTCTGCTCATGGGGTCCAGTGGCTCCCCTCTCCCTGAGGGTAAAAATTCACGTGGTGGCCTTTCAGGTTCTCCCTCCTCTGACCCCTGGGACATCTCTGATCTCCTCCCACCTCATCCTGATTCACCTGCTCTAGCCAGGCATACTGCCACCCCAGGACTTTTCCTTGCTGTTCTCTGCCTGGAACACCCCCTTCCCTAGGGTTTGCTTAACTTACTCCCTCACTTCTTTCAGATCTGTGTTCAAATATTACCTCTTTAATAAAGGCTTCCTTCATTGTTCTATTTAAACTTCTAACTCACTCTTGTCATCTGACAATTTCATATTTGTTGCCTCTTTATTTTTTCTCCATATCATTTTCCACCATGCACTGTATGTATTTTCTTTATTTTGTTTGTTGTCTGTCTTCTCCATTGGAATGTAGGTCTGTCATGGCAGAACCATTTCTCCATTTTGACTTTTACTGTTGGTATTCCATAGTGCTTAGAACAGGGCCTGATACCTATTAGGTGTGTGTTAGTCAGCTTTTCATTGCTGTGACCAAATTACCTGATGAGAACAACACAGAGATTATGGTTTCAGAGGTTTCAGTCCATAATTGACGGACTCCATTGCTCTGAGCCTGAGGGTGAGAGAGAACATCATAGCAGAAGGGCATGCTGGAGAAAAGCTTCTCAGCTTAGGGCTGGGATGTGGCTCAAGTGGTAGCGCGCTCACCTGGCATGCATGCAGCCCAGGTTCAATTCTCTGCACCACATACAAACAGGGATGTTGTGTCCGCCGAAGACTAAAAAATAAATATTAAAATTCTCATTCTCTCTCTCTCTATCTATCTATCTATCTCACACCCCACTTTCCTCACTTTCCTACAGTTACTACCCATTGTCCTTTCAAATTATTACTTAATCCAATGGATTAATCTACTGATTAGGTTATGTCTTTTATAATCTAATTATTTCATCTCTGAACATGCCTGCATTGCCGAACACATAAGCTTTTCAGGGGACACTAAAGAACCAAACCATAACAGTAGACATTCAGCAAATTGCTGTTATTATTTGCAGAATAAAAGGTAATAGCTGGCATTGTCAGACTTTGAGGCCAACTACATACAAAAATACTGACCTTGGAGGTTTGTAATAGAGAATAAATGACACCATACATATGCTTAGCACCATATTAGATATGGAGCAGATGTTCAATTAATTATAGCTTCCTCCATCTTTATTTATATTGCATTTAAGTCTGGGCCATAGTGCTGAAATACTCACATTTTTAGAAAAGGACTTGAACTTTCTAAAACCCAAGTAATTTAAAACTATTATCAATACAATTATACCTATGAATATTGCCATGTCTAGTTTTTTGTTTGTTTGTTTGGTACCAGGGATTGAAATCATGGGCATTTGACCACTGAGCCACATCCCCAGCCCTATTTTGTATTTTATTTAGAGACAGGGTCTCACTGAGCTGCTTAGCACCTCACTATTGCTGAGGCTGGCTTTGAACTCGCCATTCTCTTGTCTCACCCCCCAAGCTGCTGGGATTATAGGCGTGTACCACCATGCTCAGCTCTATCTCTTTAAACACTCCTAAATTCCATAAGCAATAAACCTTGAATGATTCTTAAGAGAATCCTATGCATCCAATAATAAAGAACTTTAATAGTAATTACTGAGCTGGTGAAATACAGGTAACTCATTACTAGTAGTATTGAAATGTGTGGAAACTTCTTTATTTCAGAAAACAAAACTTCAAATCGGAAGTTGTTTTAAAAAAGAAAATAGAGACAATTGCTGATTATTTTGACAGGATGATTGTGTGACTACTTGGTCAAGTGGAGATTGAAAGTAGATTTTGGCAGCTCTGATATTCTAACCCTGCCTCCAACATACAACTCAGTCTCCATATTAACTAAGGAATACATGTTATGAAGGAGAGTAACTCATAGTAAAATTAACTAAACAGCCAGACCACTGAAAGTTTCTGGGCTCAGGTAGGATGAAATGAAATAATACTTAATGTATTTTTATCATCTCTTTACTCCAATATCTTATTAAAATCTAATTTTGGGGTGGGATTGTAGCTCAGTGATAGAGTACATGCTTAATAGGGACAAAGCCTTGGATCATCATCCTAATTTAATTTATGCATCTTCTTATGAAATAAACTTCTGTATACACACAGTGGGTCTATAAATATCTTGCCCTTGTGCATATTGAGCATGTTTCAACGTAGTCAGAGCAGTATCTCTATTAGCGGGAAACCATTGACCCAGCAATCTTTATGTCAAGAGACACAACCAAGACAAAAGGAAATTAACATAAGAGGGCATAAGAGGTGATTAAAGTATTTAGTTGCTGACATTACAAAGCACCAATACACACTGAAAGCTAGGCTACTATGCATTCAATTTATTTTACCTAACAAAGTTTCAGAATGGCCAAGATGAGGTTGAGTCCACACACTGAAACTAAAACATATTATTCTTAGGAATCCCCTTAGGGTATATTTTCATCAATTTTAGATACAATGTAAACACTTTTGATATTCTGATTTCTTAGCCAATGTCAAACTGGAATGACATAAAATGACTATGTCAAGAATAGTGATGCTAGCAGGAAATGATAAGCCATAACAAAGAGAAGAAAGACAGAGAAAGCATATATCAGAACTCTAAAAGCAACATCAGCTAGTACCCTTTTGTGCAGGGTACTAGGTACTAATTGCCTAATCCACCTTGACCCTCTCTAAATCTCCACCCTAGCACACACATTTACACTCCTATCATATGCACTTCCAAATTCCATTATGAAGGTAACCACATGCATAATAAAGTTTGGAAGAATTTTCATCAGAATATCAAAAAATTTAAACCCTTAGAAAGCAAATATCTGCATATTGGATGGCATACTAATAACTATAATGGGGCTTTGAACAGATCAGAATTAAAATCTTCATTGGCTTCTGAAATAACTCAACATAAGACATTTTAATGTCCCAGTATAGTCTTTCAAAAAAAATCAGCATTTAGATGTTCATTATTAATACTAATCCATTAACTAATTATAAAAACCTTGAGATTAGATTAGTGTTTTGTTAATATTCATTAAAGACTGTAATTTTAAAACATTATAATAATTTAAAATCATATACTCTGTTTCTGACTTCTTGTTGAATTTGTCCAATTCTAAATGAAAAAGCAAATCTGTATTGAGACATCTATTTTCTGAATCTGATTATTTGTATGTACTTATATGTGCTTTAAAAATAAAATTTGTACTATTTTACAAAAGCTTTCTGAATTCCTTATACAATTTAACTAAGGGATATTTACTGGTTTTCACTTTTTTATATCATGAAAAAATAAATATTTCAAAGATAGAGTGACTAGGATGGAATTTCTTCCTCCTTATCGTACTGTTTCATTCTGCTTCACTAGTGACCAAAGAATGTCTCAATATGGTGGTTGTCAGACAAATAGACCAACATGGACTACATCTCAGGAGGAAACTAGAAGTTATTACTGTGCTTTTTATTCAGTCATATCAATTCGAATCACTTGTTTCATTTTATTGTAGACAGTGAAAAACCACAATGTCTTGTTGCAGGAAAAAAAAAAAAAGGAAATCCCCAAATATGGCTTAGATCAGGACAAGCTCACATACACTGCTCAGGCAAACAAGCTCAAATTAAAAATGCTTCAAATTAGAAGTGCTCATAACTTTAGACATATCCTTAAGGTCAGAAAGCTTTTTGTTGGTTATAGCTATAACAACCAGACTGTTGTTGTCATTCATCATTATTAGTACTAGGGGTTGAATCCCAGCCCCAGTCCTTTTTTTTTTTTTTTGAGACAGAATTTTGCTAAGTTGCTAAAGACAAAGTGACTTCATACTTCAAAGACAAAGACCTTACTTCATATTTACCTTAAATGTAAATGGATTAATTTTTTTCGATTAAAATGCATAGAGTGACTGAAGGTATAGAAAAGAACAAGACCCAACCATATGTTGCTTACAAGAAACTCACTTTATCTCTGAGGATGCTCAGCTTAAACATGGAGTGATGGAAAAAGATATCTCATGCAAGTGGAATCCAAAGTAAGAGTAGCTATATTTATATAAGATAAAATAGACTTTAAATTTAAAGTAATAAAGAGAACCCAAAGGTCATTATATAATGATAAAGGGGATTTAATTCAGCAAGAGGAAAATGAAAGCATTTGTTGAATCAAGTTTCAAAACTAAGATTTTTCTGTGGCTTTTATCAGAGTCAACCATCCATGGCTTCTCTCTCACCTGCTTAGTGATAAATCAAGCCTTTTCCATAAACTACTCATTTGAAGATCCCTTATTGGCCACGAGCCTCTCTGTGAATGTTCTACTGTATCCTGCCCAATGTTCCACTATCCTTTAGTTTGTATCTTCAACAAATGTATAAGGTGCTCACAAATGCTATGGGTCCCTACTGTGTTCCTGTATACTTTACCTTATTTTTCAAATGTTGATTTGTGTGTTATTCCTCTTTTACATTTCTATTTTCCAATGTTCATACTCATATCACAATGGCATATTATCAGCTCTCAAGACCTTTGAGACAAATATGCACACTGACCCACTTTGACAAGTATATGTCAATAGGAAAAAGAAAAAGGATAAACTAGGAATTGGGTATTGTTTTTTTTTTTTAAAGTTGCCTCACCAGTCAAATCTAATGTTCCTTGATAATTATACAATTAAGCAATTTTAATAGTACAATGCCTTTGAGATACTAAAATGTTTGATTTTAAAGCATCTGTTCTAATTTGTCATTTATAAAAATTTTATTGTTTTGATCTAGCAAGTTTGACCAATCTATACCGCAGAGCTCCTTACTGAAAATTATACCAATCTCTTTTAACATTGGGACCCAAGAGACTGAGGTTTCTATATAAAATTTGATCTTATTGTCATACTAGTTACATTACAATACAGAAAACCATAAACCTTACTATAATAAATGGTCATTGCTGAAAGTTGGAGTAAAAAACTCCCAATTTTATGCCTGTTTCTATAGTTAGCAGAAATCTCACATATGAAAATTTAGAAATTAAGAAGAATCTGAAATTCAACTCAATTCCCATCCCACTTAAATGCCACTTAAATGTAAGGGAAACAGTTTGTTTGAAGAAATGTGGTAACATGTCCAAGTCCTACAGCTTGCTGGGTGGTAAAGTTGTAATACCAGCCTGGGGAATTGTAACCAGTGTGCTTTAACAACTTTAATCTAAATATGGTTTTAATTTTCATGTTGTTCAAATCCATTAGACTAGTTTTCCTTTTATTTTTTCATTTATCATCTTTCTTTTTAGAGAGAACACTTGCTCTTCCATTTAATTCATACCCTCTCTGGTGAATCTCCTACAACTGAATTTGCCCTAAACTATACTTTCTGCGTGCATGCATGTGTATGCCCGTGCACGCGCGCGCGCCCACACACACACACACACACACACACACACACACACACACACACCCTCAGTTCACTCTTAGGACCATCTATCAGATGATTGGTTGAGCTCAAGGTACATCTAGTATACAAATGGAAGAGCAGAGTACCCTAAACTCTGGGAATATCCAATTTTATTGATTGCTTCAGCATGTCTGAATACTGTAATCTAGAATTTAAAGTATTCCATAAATAACCAAATTACAGAATCTTACCATCAAAAGCAGTCTTACAGAGTTTACATTCAGTATGCTGAGACTCACCTAGGAAGCTGGGAGTTAGGTGGCAGCTAGTCTCATTGCCACAGGATTTCATCCCAAAATAAGAAGTGAGATTTTTAAAATTTAGTAAAATAGAACCTTACACATTTCTGACTCGCCCAGGAAAAGCACAATTGTTCACAATGTTTTCATTGTTTAAGCAATGAATGGTAAATAATAGTAAAATTATTCTCACTCATAACTTGATGATCTTTTTCCTTTATAATTATAGATTTTAGAACATGTATAGTTCATGTATTAAATGTATAAAATTTATTTTACAGCTCTATGAAAAGGTTGCACTGCTTCTGACAAATTTAGGTAAGTGGAACATTTTATTTCATAGTGTTATGGCCTAGAAAGTAAATTTCAGAGTACATTCTCAAGTTCTGCTAAACGGAACTATACCCTTCACTTATAATTGTATACAAGAATTTGTTCTTCGCCCTCAGTAGAACATTCTAAATGTCTATAATTAGAGGATCTTTTCTATCTAGACCTTTGAAACCTTCATAAACACAGTGTCATGAGCTAATGTGATTTAAAGCAAGTTTTCTCTTCACACACACACACACAAAATAGCATCATAAAAGTATATGTGTATAAAGTGTCCAGTATAATTAGAAAAGTGTTCATTTGCTATTACCTACAACTAATGTTTAATTAAAAATTTAATGATCAAGGTACAGTGGTGCATTCCTGTAGTCATGGCTGCTTGGAAGGCTGAGGTAGAAGGATTGCTTGAACCAATGAATTTGAGGCTGGCCTGGGCAATTTAGCAAAAGTTCAGACTTTTATAGTGTATGTATTTTAGTCAGCTTTTTTGCTGCTGTGACTAAAGGACCCAACCAGATCAACTGTAGAGGAGGAAAAGTTTATTTGAGGGCTCATGGTTGCAGAGGTCTTTATCCATAGAAGGCTGGCTCCATTCCTCAGGGGTTTGAGGTATGGCAGAACAGCATAGTGGAAGAGTGTGGCAGAGGGAAACAGTTCACATCATCAGGAAGAAAAGAGAGACTCCAATGGCCAGACTCAAATATATACACCAAAGCCTCACATCAATTCCCACCTTCTCAAGCCATACCCTACCACTTTAATTACCACTTAGTTAATCCCTACTAGAGGATTAAATCACTGATTGTGTTAAAGCTCTCACAACCCATTCATTTCTTCTCTGAACCTTCTTGCATTTTCTACATGTGAGATTTCAGGGGACACCTCACACATAAACCAAAACAATATGAAATCACAACAAAGTTAGTTGTTTTGAAGATGGAGAGCCTGTTAATCAGGAATGTAGGTAAGCAACAATCACTGACATTTTTGGAAATAACATTCATCAGGACAAGTCACTTCTAAGAACATTTCACTGATGCCAAAAGTACTTGGTAGCTAGCCATAAGTACATTTACCACATTTCCAAGACAGAAATTGTATCAAATTTTATTAACGAGCTTTTAATTTTTTTAACTTCTTATTACTATTTTTATTTGTTCTACATAATTGTATGCACAGCAGAATGTATTTCAATTCATCATACACAAATGGAGTGCAACATTTCAGTTCTCTGGCTGTATATGGTATAAAGACACACCATTCATGCAATCATACATGTACCCCATAATGATATCCATCTCATTTTACCATCTTTCCTACCCACATAGCCCCTCTTCCCCTCCCTTTTGCCCAATCCAAAGTTTCTTCATTCTTCCCAGACCCCACCATCATAGATGAGAAAACATTTGGCCTTTAGTTTGGGGGGATTGGCTTATTTCACTTAACATTATATTTTCCAATTCCATCTATTTACCTGTAAATGCCATAATTTTATTCTCTTTTAATGATGAACAATATTCCATTGTGAAATATACCAGTTTCTTTATCTATTCATCTTTTGATGGGCATCTAGGTTGGTTCCACAGTCTAGCTATTATGAATTCAGCTGCTATAAACATTGGTGTGGCCATGTCACTATAGTATGCTATAGTTTATACCCTGAGGGGTGGGATAGCTGGATAAAATGGTAGTTTTATTCCAAGTTTTCTGAGGAATCTCCACACTACTTTCCAAAATGGTTTCACCAATTTGCACTCCCACCAGCAATGTATGAGTGAACCTTTTTCTCTACATCCTCTCCAGCACTTCTTATTGCTTGTATTCATGGTAACTGCCATTGTGACTGGGGTGAGATAAAATCTTAGTTTTAATTTGCATTTCTCTAATCACTGAAGATGTTGAACACTTTTTCATGTGTTTGTTGATCACTTGTATATCTTCTTCTGAGATGTGCCTGTTCAGTTCCTTAGCCCATTTATTGATTAGGTTAGTTTTTTTGGTTATTGTTGTGAGTTTTTGAGTATTTATATATATCTTGGAGATTAGTACTCTATCTAATGTGCATATGGTAAAAATTTGCTCCCAGACTATAGGTTCTCTCTTCACCTCAATGATTGTTTCTTTTGCTAAGGAGAAGCTTTTTGGTTTGAATCCATCCCATTTATTGATTCTTGATTTTATTTCTTGTGCTTTAGGGGTCTTGTTAAGGAAGTCGGGGCCTAATCCAATATGATGAAGATTTGGGCCTACTTTTTCTTCTGTTAGGGGCAGAGTCTCTGGTCTAATTCCTAGGTCCTTGATTTACTTTGAGTTAAGTTTTGTGCGTGGTGAAAGATAGAGGCTTAATTTCATTTTGCTACATTTGAATTTCCAGTCTTCCAAGCACCATTTGTTGAAGAGGCTATATTTTCTCCAATGTATGTTTTTGATGCCTTTGTGTAGTATGAGATAAATGTATTAATGTGGGTTGGTCTCTGGTCTTCTATTCTGTACTATTGGTCTACATGTCTGTTTTGGTGCCAATATCATGCTGTTTTTGTTATTATTTCTCTGTAGTTTAAGGTCTGGTATTGTGATGCCTCCTGTTTTACTTTTTTTTTTTTTTTCTGTTCATTGTCCTCAGGTACAGGAATAATGTAGGCCAAGAGAACCAGCCATCTTTGTCAACAATTCTTATTCAGGATTGCTTTGGCTATTATGGGTCTCTTATTTTTCCAAATGAATTTCACAATTGTTTTTTCTAATTCTATAAAAATGTCATTGGGATTTTAAGAGGGATTGCATTAAATCTGCATGACACTTTTGGTAGTATGGACATTTTGACAATATTAACTCTGCCTATCTAAGAGATCTTTTCACCTTCTAAGATCTTCAATTTCATTCTTTGGTATTGCTTAGTTTTCATTTTAGAGGTCTTTCACCTCTTTTCTTAGATTGATCCCCAAGTATTTTATATTTTTTGAGGCTATTTTGAATGGTGCAGTTTTTCTAATTTTTCTTTCAGTGGATTCATCACTTACATATAGAAATGCATTTGATTTATGGATATTGATTTTATATCCTGCTACTTTGCTGAATTCATTGATTAGTTCTAGAAGTTTTCTAGTAGAATTTTTGGATCTTCTAATATAGAATCATGTCATGACAAATAGTGATAGTTTGAGTTCTTCTTTTCCTGTGTGTACCTTTAATTTCTTTTGTCTGTCTGATTGCTCTGGCTAGAATTTCAAGACTATGTTGAATACAAGTAGTGAAAGAGGACATCACTGTCTTGTACCAGTTTTTAGAGGGAATGCTTCCAATTTTTCTCCATTTAGAATGATGTTGGCCTTGGGCTTAGCATAGACAGCCTTTACAATGTTGAGTATGATCCTACTAGTCCTAGTTTTTCTAGTGTTTTGAGCATGAAGAGGTGCTGTATTTTGTCAGATGCATTTTCAGCATCTATTCAGATAATCATATGATTCTTGTCTTTAAGTCTATTGATGTGATGTATTATATTTATTGATTTCTGTATGTTGAACCAACCTTGCATTCCTAGGATGAACCACACTTGATCGTAGTACACTATCTTTTTAATATGTTTTTGTATGTGATTGGCCAGGATTTTATTGAGAATTTTTGCATCTGTGTTCATCAGGGATATTAGTCTTGATGTCTTTTTCTGGTTTTGGTATCAGGGTGATACTAGCCTTAAAGAATGAATTTGGAAGGGACCTCCTTTTCTATTTCATGGAATAATTGGAGGAGTATTGGTATTCATTCTTCTTTGAATGTCTTATAGAACTCTGCTGAGAATCTGTCTGTCTTGGGTTTCTTGGTTGGTAGGCTTTTGATGGTATCTTCTATTTTCTTGCTTGAAATTGATCTATTTACATTGTAGTTGTCCTCCTGATTCAGTTTGAGTAGATCATATGTTTCTAGAAATTTGTTGGTGTCACTGAGGTTTTCTATTTTATTGGAGTATAAATTTTCAAAATAAGTTCTAATTATCTTCAGTATTTCAATAATGCCCATCATGATATTTCCTTTTGCATCACAAATTTTAGTAATTTAAGTTTTCTCTCTTTCTCTTCATTAGAATGGCTAAGTGTTTAACAATTAATTTTTTTTCAAAGTACCAACTTTCATTTTGTCAATTTTTTCAATTGTTTCTTTTAATTTCATTGATTTCATCTCTGATTTTTATTATTTCCTGTCTTCTACTACTTTTGGTGTTGATTTGTTCTCCTTTTTCTAGGGCTTTGAGATATAATGTTTGGTCATTTATTTGTTGGCTTTTTATTCTTTTTTAATGAATGAGCTCAATGCAATGAACTTTCCTCTTAGCACTGCCTTCATAGTGTCCCAGAGATTTTGATAGGTTGTAGAGTGTTCTCATTTACCTCTAAGAATTGTTTTATCTCCTTCCTGATGTCTTCTGCTATCCATTGCTCATTCAATATCATATTATTTAGTCTCCAGGTGTTGGAATAGCTACTATATTTTATCATTTATCATTTTATTTTATCATTGATTTCTAGTTTCATTTCATTATGATCTGATAGAATACAGGGTAGTATCTCTATTTTTTGGAATTTACTGAGAGTTGCTTTGTGGCATAATATATGGTGTATTTTAGAGAAGGATCATGTGCTACTGAGAAGAAGGTGTATTTGCTCAATGAGGGATGGATACTCTATGTGTGTTAAGTCTAAGTCATTGATTGTATTATTGAGTTCTATAGTTTTTTGTTTAGTTTTTATTTGGAAGATCTATCCAGTGGTGGGAGAGGTGTGTTAAAATCACCCAGTATTATTGTGTTGTGTTCTGTTTGCTTCTTGAAATTGTATATGTTTGATATACATAGATGCTCCATTGTTTGGGGCATAGATATTTATGATTATTATGTCTTGTTGATGTATGTTTCCCTTAAGCAATATGAAATGCTCTTCTTGATCTCTTTTGACTAACTTTGGTTTGAAGTCCACTTTATCTGACATTAGGATGGAAACCCTACTTATTTACGTTGCTCATATAAGTGTTATGTTTTTTCCCATCTTTTCACCTTCAGTCTGTGGATATCTTTTCTGAAGATGAGTCTCTTGAAGGAAGCATATTGTTTGATCTTTTTATTAAAATCCAATCTGCCAGTCTATATCTTTTAATTGATGAGTTTAGGCCATTAACATTCAGGGTTATTTTTGAGACAAGGTTTGTATTCCTGGTCATTTTAGATTATGTATGATTTTTAACTTGAGTTGGTTTCTTCTTTGATTGGATTTTCCCTTTGGGTAGTTCCTCTGTTTGCTGATTTCATTGTTGTTTTTTATTTTGTCCTCATTGAATATTTTGCCTAGAACATTCTGTAATGCAGGCTTTCTCATTGTGAATTCTTTTAATTTTTGTTTATCATAGAAGGTTTTTATTTTGTCATTAAATTTGAAGCTTAATTTTGCTGGATATTGATGAGATTTTAGTCATTATGCAGTTTGGGAAAATTACAAGCTCCCATGGGTAATTGTTTTAATAGATTCCCTTATGTAGCTTGTCCAGAAAGGGGAAGATCACAAAACTGTTTTTATTTATAACAGTCATTATTACTAATAGATGCCATTTCTTGAGTCTATACACCAGATACACAGCTAGCCATTTTACTGTATCTCCTTTAATATCATTGACATCTTCCATCACCATCACACCTTGTCCAAAAAGATAGAAAGAGCTTTATGTTCATGGAGGAGGTAACTGTCCATTGGTATGCTGTGTCTGGTGATAGCTTGACCCTGGCTGTGGAGATACAGCCTTGGTCCATCCATCATTGAAACATCTGGGAACTCAGCTGGCTGACAACCCAGAAAACCTTCACATGTAACTAGGACTCAGTCAGCAGAAGTGAAATGAAACTAAAACCCTCCAAGAATTCTTTGTCTTTCCTGCCCTGGACAGCAGTATGGCCTTGTTCTAAAATTGACATTTTAAACCACTTTAAATCAGGTTCTCTTTCTTTCTCCCTTTCCTTCTCAGATTTGCTTCCAGGAAGCATTTTGAGTTATAATTCATGGAAAAAGAAATGATGGGGTGAAATGTTAAATGAGTAATTAGAAGCTCAGGGAATGTAGAAACAGATAAAATGCTATTGCATTAAATACATTTTCTTTGACCCTCCTTGAGGTGAGGATTGAGCTCCTAGGGAAGGATAAGGGCATCTGACATGAGATTTTAAGTTGGAGATTTGACCTTAAGGGGCAACTAGAGCTATATTTTGGTTCACATCACAGTGTCCAAAAAGCCTTTGGTCTGTGAAAGTTGAAATATGAGGAGATGACAATCAGCTCCTGACTGAGGTCAGAAAATTATAAGACACAGTGGTGATATATACAGGAAAAGCTCTAGGAAAGAGGTCATCTTAATGTTTGCCTGTGAGAATGGAAAATGGTAGATGAGGGTGAAGACATCCAAGTCAAATACTCTGTATTCCATGATATGCAGCAGCCTGTGCAGCACTGGAACTAGGAGTGGAGACCAAGGAATCATTAGGAGCTGGGAGGCCACCTGACCCCACATAGGCCCCACGATGAAGGTAGAAACAAAAAGGAAAACGCAAAGCTACTGCAGAGAGCCAGGTCTGGGGATGAGTCCCCATTCATTTTACCTGTCCCTGCTTCATACTCTCCAGGGATCCCATAACAGCAGAACACTCTGGACACTGAATGTATCCTTCAGGTACATCAGTTGCTACTTCACACCGAACTCTTACTGGGGCTGGTCTGTGAGTTTGAGGATTTGTCTCATGCATGGTCTGTTCCATCACATGTCAGCTGTAGGCAAACTGGTATCTCCTGTGTGGAGAGAGGGAGGCAAGAAGTTGAGAGGGGTCAAATTCAGCCCCTCAAACTCTGCTCCTCTTTTGTCCACAGAGCAGCCTCGCACAGAGTCCGAATGGGAGAACAGCTTCACCTTGAAAATGTTTCTTTTTCAGTTTGTCAATCTGAATAGCTCCACGTTTTACATCGCATTCTTCCTTGGAAGGTAAAAACCTGACCCCTCCACACCTACTTATGCCAGGCGGGGACAGAACACTCAGAGTCCACTAGCAAAGGTGATAGAGAAGCCCATCTCAAAATGTAAAAAGAGAACATTGACTTCCTTTCCCTTTCCAAATGAATCCCCAAAAATAGTCTCCACTCAGAAGTGCTCTGTATCTTTTATTGCTAATGCAAATGGTTTACTTGCACCTGTGAATGATGTATTGAAAACATCTGACCAATATCTATACCTGCAGAAGGCCCCAGAGACTCACACCTGTGAAAGCAGGTGGCATAGGGGTATAATCCTACAGCATATCCTAAATCTCTAAGAGGGAAGAACATCCTGCCCCCGGCCTAGGAAAGGGGATAGAATGAATACCAGAGAATACTATGTAACTTTAAATCTAGCAGTTATGAGGATTTAGGAGGGATTCTATGCTTAGTGGTAATGCCCCATGAATTCCACGGCACCTGGAAGCATTTCAGGAGAGTAGGGAAAGGAGTCAGGTATAGGGTTTCAGTGAGATGCATGTAGTTTTTTAGCTACTCCAATAGCATGAAATTATGAACAGCTTGATTTTATTTTAAAAAGCATGACTATTATTCAAAAGCATCAAATATGTTTAAAGGAACCAGTAAAACTGTTGCTTACCCCAACTAAAGCACCTGCTATTCAGCAGAAAATGTTAAAATTTATAGCAAGCAGGAAGAACTGGCCCCTGCTGCTAGGAACTGGATGGAAAGCCGGAAGAAAAATGTCCCCTGGAGAATTCCAAGAGCTATAGTTATGACAGCTCTGGAGGGCTTCCTAATTCTTTCAACCTGATACTTGACTGCACCCATAATTTACTTTGGAGGATGTTCTAAACTGAATATAATATTCACGGAAAGCTTAGACTTACAGAATGCTAATGATTTGTTTTTCTGTATGTTAAAGATTCACAGGACACCCAGGTGCCTACTTGAGGCTGATAAACAGGTGGAGACTAGAAGAGGTCTGTATTCTCCCCTCCTTTCTTTTTTCCTACATACTCACATGAAACAGCCCTATGGAAACTTTATGCAAATTAGAAGCAGACACCCTTTCTTCCTCACCATTGATTCTTGAATTTCTGTGTTTGCTTACCTTGCAGTGCCACCCTAGTGGATGCCTTATTGATCTCTGTATGCAAATGGGTATTATAATGGTGCTAAAGCAGACCTGGAATAATTTCATGGAACTTGGCTACCCGTAAGTACCTTAGATGTCTATCATTGACAGGCAGCATTGCTCCTTGTTGGCATTTCTGGGTGTGGCAAGTAAGATAAGCAATGCAGACTTGGCAATCAAGCAAGCGTCACACTTAGATATTCAAAGGCAGTCATGAAAACACACATTGGCTCTATGGGGAGATTTAGCACAGGTCACGTGAATGAAAGTGAATGTTCTTTATGAAGTCTCTGTAGTCCCCTAAATATTAAATATTGGCCTGCAAGATGCTTTAAGTGATGCTTTTGACCCTTTAGGCTCCACCATTGTTTAAGTCCATAGCTCTTTACTTATTAATAAGATCGCCACCTCACCATTCCTGTGATAAATTAGAATGGCATTTTTTTAAAAAACTACACTAAATTCAGACTACAGAAAAAAAGAACTTATGGAAAGGAGTAAAGTTCAAGAATTCTCAAAATAAATAGGTGTATTTCTAAGGCATTAGCACCTGGAAATAATATTTTTCTGTCCATGGCATTGGGCAAAACTTGCATGATGTTTGCAAAGATAAACTTCAGCTCTGCTGTGCTTGTTCAGTTCTGGTCAGTTTAGTTTTAGGGGAACATATTCAGCAACACTTTTATGTCTGCTGTAACTCCATACCCATTGGGTTCCATGTTGGCTCTGAGTCTCTAGCGGGGACATCAAGATCCACAGGTCTCAGAGAGGACCACTCTTCTAGAATGATTAGCTGAATTTGGTCCACTTCAAAACATCTTCCCTTAGCTCCCTGTCAGAATCAATGTCACTAATTTTCTATTCTTGAATTTATTTAGAAATCATATTCCAAGTATTTGATGTTTCTGTAAAACATAAATAAAATAAAACATAAAACAAAAATAGGAGTATGATATTCTACTTCACAGTATAAGCCATATACTGTGTATATGCCTAGACAATGTCCTAGGCATCAGGGGAACTGAATTTTGACCTCTAATAAGACAGACATATTGTGAAGTGGGAAGAGTTTGTCTTTGATACTCTTTTATTTCGCATGATTTTTCTTTTGGAATTTGAACTCCTAGGTGCCCTTCAACTTTTTCCTTTTTCCTTGTACCCTACAGCACAACCTGCATACTCTGATGCATTTCCTTAACCATATTATGAATTGTACTCCTGAACACTGCTGAGGATTAATGTGTAATTTCACCAATGTGAAATGTATTTTATTGGAAGTTAGAGCTCCAGTCCAGTTGTCAAATTACAGGCGACCATCTCCCAAGAGAGGAAGCATTTTTGTGGGTTTGCAGGTTTTCTGGGTCCCTGAAGTCAGAATACGCAGGTCAGCACTCACATAAGAAGACTGCTCATTAAGCAACTTAGGCCTATTATCACTTGGCTGGGTGTTGCAGAGAAGTCAGTTTATAGATACACTCAGTCCTCTATGCACGAAGCATGAGATCATTTCATGAACGCTTGAAAGAAGTTCATCAGTCATTCTGCTTACATGCATGAGTTTCTTTTTTTTAACATGGCTCTAAATTCTAACTATTCTCTTTCTTATTAATTAAGTCTTATGAGTAGTTTCTTTTTTGGTAAGAAATTGATCTTTTTGTACAGGTTAATTCAGAACTGGTGGACTAGAAGAAAAGTACGTCAAGAACATGGGACTGAAAGGAAAGTAAACTTCCCACAATGGGAAAAGGACTACAACCTTCAGCCAATGAATGCCTATGGACTCTTTGATGAGTACTTGGAAATGAGTATGGAAATATTCTCTTTTACCCTCTTAATTACAGATCTCTAGCTATATTCAATTGCAATACACCCATTATCATGGAAGCCATCTGTGTGTGGGTCTCCCAAGCTAAATACAGAGGGAAGAATGTCTTCATTTAAGAAATTCAATCCATAGGGATAATGCCCAAAGTCTATTGAAATTCAAACTATTCATGACATTGTCTTGTCCCTTGTACTGAGTCACCAGAACACAAAATGAATTGAGAAATTTGATGCATCAAATTAAAGGAGTTAGCATTCATGCAGTGATTGATCCCTCATTCAGCTGATATTTGTTGAACTTCATGAAATGCCAGGGAGACACTGTATCTGGCACCAGAGATTCAAAAAAAGAGTAAGGCACAGTGCCCAGCTTTCAAAGAGTGCACAGGCTAGTGAGAGAGAACAAGAGATATAAAGAGTTACTGCAGCCAGGTATGGTGGCATACCTGTAATCCCAGCTACTTGGGAAGCTGAGGCAGGAGGGTCACAATGTTGAGGCCAGTTTAGTGAGACTGTCTCAAAACTGATAAAAGGGCTGGGGATGTAGCCCAATGGTAGAGCTTGTACCCAGCATGCATGAAGACTGGGTTTAATCCCCAGTACACATACACATACACACACACACACACACACACACACACACACACACACACTGATAAAGAGAGAAAAGAGTAACTGCAATAAAGTGTCATAGATTCTGTGACATGAATCAGTAAGAGGTATAGTGGGGAGCAGTCATTTCTGTTGTGGGAGGAAAGTGTTCAGAGATGGGAATGCTTAACCTATCCTGCACTTTACAGTTATGGAATCAGATCATCTAGAATCAAACCCAAGCTAGTTCTCTTAGATTGTATCTCCGAGCATGGACTTTGGAAGCAAATTCCCTAGGTTCAAATGTCAAACCTGTAATTTATGAACCGTGAAACCTCTTTGTTAACTGTATCATTATATCCCCTCTAGGAGATAAGAAATATAGGAAAATAATAATAATGGTAATGTAAACATATACTAATGAGTCAGGCATTGTTCTGAGCTTTCCATTCACTAACTCACTTGATCTGCACAAAGGGTTACTCTTACTATCATTCCCACTTTAGAGAAGAGAAAACAGAGACAAAAAGATATTAAGTAATATCTCTTAGCAGATAGATTATGTATACATTTTATTTATTATTTTTGAAGCTCTATTATACTGGAGTGAAAACAGGATTAGGAATGGGCAAGATACATTATTTCTGAAGGAAGCCATCCTTTCTAGGCAATTCTGAAAATTAAAGGAGTAGTAGAATTAACACTTAATGTTTCTTAGATTGCTTATGTCCCAAGTATCCACTGATGTTTTCAGAGTTTCAATTATAAAATGGCAGAATGATATAACTTGGAAAAGAAATCAATTGGATCATTAATAATAAAACTTAATAAAGGGAATTCATTATAAGAACTAACCACTTTTAGATCTCTTAATGGACTCTTTCTCCCATAAAGAAGGAAATGAACGATAATGTGAGTATATCAAGCTCTTGAAAAAAGGTATTTATGTGGCTAGAATTGGTAGTGCTCCAAATACTGCAGTATCTTTTCACCATAAAACAAATATGAGAAGCATTGCAAGCAGATGGGTGAATTCCAACAGCTTACTTCTGTTCCTGCTGGTTTTATTTTTCTTTTCACTTCCCGGCTTTGTTGTTGTTTTAATATTGTAACTCACTGAGTTGCATATGTAGAGAGAAATATAGAAATTGTACAGAGCAATGAATTTTCACAAGTTTACACACAAATGCATGTAGATGAGAGTGTGGCTAACCACTACACACTACCCACAAACCAAATTCAGTCCAGTATCTTTTTCTAAGTAAAGCTTTATTGGAACACAATGATACCCACTTATTTACATATTAACTATAGCTGCTTTTACACTATTACAGCCAAGTGGAATAGTTGTGTCCGAGACATTAAAGCCAGCAATATTTAGTGTCTGACTCCTTATAAAAATAGTTTGCCATCCTGTGAACTAGATTAAGCAACAGAATATTATGAGTATCTAAGAAAGTTCTTTTGTCCCCCCTTCCATACATAACAACCTCTGCGATCACTTTGAATGCTGTAGATTAGTTTTTCTTTTTTTGATATCCACATGAACAGATTGTAGAGAACATATTCTTGTAACTGGCTGCTTTCATTCAATATCATATTTATAACATTCTTCCCTGTTGCTCTTGGTAGTAGAATTCCATTTTCATTTTGCTGTATAGTCTTCCTAAGATATACACACGTGAAGCAAAATTATGAAACAGGCAGATTGTCTTTAACATTCATCTCATCTTTCCTTTTAGTCATGTGATTTTTTTTTTTGCATTTCTATTTTCAGATATGCCCCAAGTTGCTACCTTGCCCCCATCCAGCACACTGACTCCCACATCACTAATCAAGTCTCTCCTGTTTTGAATGTATTTTTAACCACAAATAAGAATTGAGGTATTGGATAGGTATACTTTAAGAGGGGTCAAAGCCTCTGTTAGGCTTCTCCAAAACAGGCCAAATTTCTTGTGAAGTGCAGGCATCAGTGTGACAATAGATGAACTATTGTGAGTTTGCACATTTTGTTGGCTCCTAAAAATAGAAATACACCACATTTATTCATTCATTCTACTGGTAATAGATATTTATTTCCAGATTTGGGCTCTTTTAAATAATGCTTATGTGAACATATTTGTAACATGTGTTTTCAGTCACATAAGTTAAATATTTCTGTTGGGAATTTATGTAGGATTGGAGTTACCTGACCATAAAATATGCATTTGTCAATCTTCAGTAGACCCTTTCAAGCTTTTCAAAGTTGGGTTGTTCCAATTTATATTTCAACTAGTACCGTAAGAGCTCCAGTTATTCCATGTACTCACTAAAAGTCATTAGGTATTTTTACAAAATTTTAGCTATCTGATCAGTATGTCGTAGTGTCTCACCATAGCTTTAATTTGAAATTTCCTGATGACTAATGATGCTGGGAACTTTTTCATATGCTTATGGCAATTTGGATATCTTTGTTGACTTCTCACCCCAACCCATAATTTTAATGGGAATCTGTCTTTTTCTTAGTGATTTGTGGAAGCCACTGACATATTACAGACATAAGTTCTTTGTCAGATATATAAGTTGCAAAAAAATATCCTTACTTTCTTTATCAGTGACTTGACTTCTAACTCTCTTATCTGTATCTTTAAATTACAGAAGTTTAAACTTTATTCTTCTTCAAAATTGGTTCCATATACATTTTACAATAAGATTTCCAATTTCTACAAAAAAACCTTATCAAGACATTGACTGGAATTGAATTGAACCTCTTAAACAATTTGAGGAAAACATATTTTCTAATTAATAGATATGGTCTATTTCTGCATTTATTTATTTTTCTGCATTTTTTCTCAGCAAGATTTTATAGATTTTACTGTACAGGTTTTAGGTAACTCAGGTTAGATGTATTTGCATGCAGTTAATGAATTTTAGTGCAATTGCAAATGATGTTTTTATAGTTCTTTTGTGGGTTGTTTTGGGGAGTTATTTTATATTTGGGTGCTAGAAATTGAATCCACAGTTTTGCACATGCTATATTTAGCACATAGCCTACCACTGAGCTATTCTCTCGGACCTAGTTTTATTTTATTTTATCTTGCTGGTATATAAAATTATCATTGGTTTTATGTTAACTTTGTACCACACAAATATGCCAAGGTATAATATCAGATTCTAGATTTTTTTTAGATTTCCTAGATTTTTTTTAGATGACCCAATCATGTCATCTACAAATAATAATTTTACATTTTCTTTTCTAATCATTGCATTTTTGTTGTTCTTGCCTAATTACACTAGTATTGTCCATATAATTATAATAAAAATAATTCTCTGTGCTTTTTATTATATTACTTCTGTAATAAAGGTTTTTCCAAAAATTTAAAAAATTCCATCTGACTATGGTTCAATAAACCTCTTTCCTGAACCTCCTGAGAAAGCAGCAGACACTGGACATTGTAGTTAATCACTTCAAGATCAATATCACATAGGTCACACCTGAGCTTTGTGAAAGCAGTTATTTGAATTAATTATAGGTCATAATATTTAACTAGTTAAATTTGATAAATGTCAGATAAAAGAAAGTTACCAATAAACTAAATGTATTTCCTTTTTCCTCTTAAACCGATAGTATTTTTCATTGTAAACTCAATCTTAGAGAACTATTTTTTTAGTGAGCCTTGCATTTTTCTGCCTAAATAAATATCTAGTACCCTCAGTGATTATAAGAATTATCTTTACTGGTATTATTTCACTTGAATAATAAGGTGAGTGAGTGAGTGTGTGTGTGTGTGTGTGTGTGTGTGTGTGTGTATGTGTGTGTGTGTGTTGTTTGGTTTGGTTGGTTTTTTACTTTCCTGGTCTTTTTTCATTGTAATTACATGTCAGTCACTGAACCAGCATTATTTGGTATCTGTTAAGTCCCTCCCATACACAAAACCATGTAGTGAACGTATGGAAAATGGAAACACAAAGTCTCCATCCCTACCTTCGTGAAGGTCAGTGCAATGGGGAAAAGACAAAGAAGGAGCCATGAAATCAAGAGGAAGTTCTTTGTGTGGTGGTGAGAGGAGTTGTGGTAGCCATAGAGGAGGCAGTACTACCAAAAGGCTCCAGAAGAGGGCACATTTGAGCTTACCCATGAAGGAAGAATGGACTTTCATCTGAGCATAGACAGGAACATTGAGTATATGATATGTTTCCACAAAACCAGAAGTGTGGTGTGGCCAGAGTGAAGGACTGTTTGGGAACCTCGTCTGGGCATAGGGTACAACCTTTGGACATAAGACTTGGAAGTTTGTATAGAATCAGATTATTGAGATTCTTGAATGGCATGGTGGAATTTTGGGATTTATTCGGTAGGCAATGAGAACCTACTGAATTTTTTCATGTAGGGAGATGGTAAGCAAAGGGCTTGTACAATATTTTAGGCACATGTAAAATGCCACGATGGGGAAAATAGGTGAAAATTTGGAGATAGAGAAGCCAGTTAAAAAATCAGTCTGAATTCTGGGGCTGGAGTTGTGGCTCAGTGGTACAATACTTGCCTAGCACGCATGAGGCACTGGGTTTGATCCCCAGCACCACATAAAAATAAACAAATAAAATAAAAGTATTGTGTCCATCTACAATTAAAACAAAAATCAGTCTGAACTCAAGTGGGGACAGTGAATAAGAAGAATAAAGGAGAGAGATTTTTTAAGAGTAATTGATAGGATTTGGAGACCAATGGTTCTGAATGCTGAGCTAGCCAAGATCTAGTTTTTAATGCAAGAGGACTGAGGGGAGGAGGAACATGAAAGAAAAGGTGCATCCTACCAGGGGTGTGTGACAGCAATATGTCTTATTGCTGGTGATGTTGACTTTGATCATGTGGGTAAGGTGATGTCTACTAGGTTGCTGTATTGTGAAAATACTCTTTTTCCCTTTGTAATTATTTGAATCAAGAAATGTCCTATTTTCTTCAGTATCCTCCCCTGCCCCCACTAATTTTAGCATTCTTTGATGGTTCTTGCCTGCAACAGTATTACTGTGATATCTAATGAGTGGTGGATTTTCTATTTTCATCATTCCTTCTATGTTTATGAATTAGAATTCTACCATAAAGAACAGCTACCTAAATTCCCTCCTTTATCATTTATGTGTATCTATTTATATTTATATCAATATCAATGTAGACTTAATGCTTAGTGTTAGTTATAATCCAATGCTATCATTTATTTTTTTTCCACAAATAATTCTGGCTTTGACCATAGAGAGTGCCTTCAAGTTTGTTCTGTATCCTATTGATGTGTCCCCATCATTTATTGAGTGCTTTCTTACTTTCTGGCATTACAAGATATCCTAGTCTCACATTTTATTTTTCTACCACAATTTGGGAATCCAAGGATCCCTGGTTCCTTTTATTTGAGAATGGCATTTAGAAAACAACCTCTGGGTCCTAAGCATGCTTCCTGTTCCCAAGGATACATTTACTCCCAGCCCCAGGTAGTGCCCTTTGATCCAATGTCTTGGTCATCTTTCTGCAAGAGATGTCCCCTGTGCGTCTGGATCAGAAAAATATCACTTAAGACAATGTCACATTCAGATCATTTCCTTTTGAAAACAGTAATGGAAAACCAACATTTTTGTTCTCCTCCTTTTTCTCTTCCCCAGTTCTTCAGTTTGGATTCACAACTATCTTTGTGGCAGCTTTTCCCCTAGCACCACTTCTAGCCTTACTGAATAACATCATTGAAATTCGACTGGATGCTTACAAATTTGTCACACAATGGAGGAGACCTTTAGCTTCAAGGGCCAAAGACATAGGTAAGTTGGATTCAGGCATTTTTAAAAAGCACTATGAGCTATCTTGTGGATAAAATTTTAAAAGCCACCCAATATTAGTTTTTTCTTATGGTTTCCATGTAAAATGACTTAATACTTAGTGTAATTCTTGCAAAAAAAATAGTTTGATTAGTTTTAAATAATATCAAATAAGAAGTAAAGCTGCCCTATTTGGAAATTTATCATTTTCATTGCTAGAGAATATATGCCCAAATAGATTCTTAATTTGGTTATTTCTAGCTTAAAACTTTAGAATCTAAAATTTTGATTTCTCATCACTAATTTTTAACATAGATCTTCTGGGGAGAAGTACTAAGGAGTGAGATTGGCCAAATTATATTATTATATTGTGTGAACATACAAATATGTACAACAAATCCTACCATTATGTACAAGTATAATGCACCAATAAAGAAATGTGGGCAAAAAAAATTGATCTTCCATTTGCTTAACTTTGTTTTGCATTTTCCTAGTGTTTTCTTGATTCACATGAAACATAATCTAGTTTTCTAAGGGCAGAAATGAGCACTGGTATTTGACCAAAGATGTTGAATTGAATCAGGTGCAGTTCTCGTGAGAGCCAAGATCAAAAACTGTCTTTTATTCATTTGTGCATCCAGTGCTGAGGGCAGAGTAGGCAGGTGCTCAGCCAATATATGTGTGGAAGAGAATCGAATATAGATGTTCTTGCTCACAATAGGCTTTTAACCTCCATGTGAAACCAGCTCACTTTCAGTGAGCACCTACTCAGGGCCATGTCTCAGGGGTTGGGCTCCCAAAGATGAACAGGAGAGATCCTGTCCATACTCTTAAGGAGTTCCCAGTCTGGTGGCAGCTTGACCTTGACTGAGCTCATCTTTTCAGATTGTTTTGGGGCCTTATCATTGACCAGAATTCTCTGACTTATGTCTGATCCTGATCATTAAATCATGAGCACATGGGCACTTTCTCAGAAATTCCTTAAACGCCAAGGTGTTTGGAAGCACAGATTCTTACTCTTAATTTCAGTTGTATTTGGAAATATGAAAGGACTTGAAAACAAGTTACTCTGATTGCTTTCATTCTTACCACCTCTGATGTACATGGAGCTAATACCCCATTTCTATTTGAATAGGAATTTGGTATGGAATTCTTGAAGGCATTGGGATTCTCTCGGTTATTACAAATGCATTTGTCATAGCGATAACATCTGACTTTATCCCTCGCTTGGTGTATGCTTATAAATATGGACCTTGTGCAGGCCAAGGAGAAGCTGGGCAAAAGTAAGTTGGCTGCAAAACCATTTTGAAATCTTCATTTCCTAGCCTTTGTGTGGTGTTGGGCACTGAAGGAGAATCCTTTGGCCTGGGGTATGTGGCACATAAGCCTGATAATAAGGCCTATGGTGGGGAGGCGGGAAATTATGATGTAATTATATTTCCAGCCAAAAAGAAGAACAACAGATCCCATATCTACTGAAGGGTTGAGGATCAAACAAGTCAGGCAGTGTCTGTATTTCTTCAGTCAAATTGGGGCACAATTCTGTTTGTAAAGTCAGCCACTATATATATATGACAGATAGAAACCTAGGCAGCATTGTAATGAGTTACCTCACTTTCTTTTCTGTGCTTAAAAAAAAAAGTTCAAGAAGTCTTAACATACTTTAAAAATCCATAAAGTCAAAATAATAATCTAATTGTGGAACTGTAGGTCAGAGTGGAGTATGTTTTAAGATTACAAGGTCTTCTGGATGCCCCAGAAGTCTCATTTGGGCTGCTGCCTACTACTGGTTCACCAGTCTGAGCCAAACAAATGTGTCCAACGTAGCCATTATAGTTTGATCAGCCCAAAGGAATAATGTGCCTCCAAATCAAGTTCATTGAATTATGCATACCTGGCCTGGGTCCAATTTTATTATTAATTCTGCATAAATGCACTAAGGCATGTATGATTGAGAAATGTAATAAAACTCACAATCCAGCTATTTGAAGAGACTTCTGTGAGTTTCTTTACTACCATAATCATGTGGCCATGAAATACTACTAATTATCTAGCATCTTTAAGTGAGCATACCGTCCCATTTTAAGAGAAATTTGAAAGACCTAGACTATACCACCCAGCATTTCTTTCTAATCACAACGCGTTGTCAACATTCTCTGCTTGGCTCAACCTAAAAAAGCTTACCTTAATTCAAGCTACTGTAACATATTTTGCATTTGATTTTTTGAAACATCCCTGTGATTGGGACATGCGTAATTATCCTCACTCTGAGGAGCAGGAAAAGATTAAGGGAGGCTAAATCCAGAATCAGAAGGCAGAGTTGCTGTTGGAGCCACACCGAGTTAAAGCACACTCATAGAGCTCCGTTCCAAGGGGACATGGTCATCTGGCTCAACTAACCCCTGGGATTTAGGTCTTAATGGTTATTTCAGTTCTTTCTAATTCCAATAATGGTGAAACCTGTCTTGTTTTTTGGAGAACTAAAAAAATACAATGGACACATTTCTGCATAGCAGACAGTAAATCAAAGCTTTCAGAATTTAGCATTCTGCTAGGTTATGTTCATGATGATTAAAATTTACCTAATAGCCTCCTTATTTCAGTTTTATGGGGTTCCTCGGGGCTCTAATTTTCTCTGTAAACCTTTCTCTTTAACTTAAGAGCCCTCTGCCACTTTGGATTTATAGATCTGCCTTTTTAATCCATTGGTCATTTTTCTTGTTTTCAAAGAGTTGTATTTACATATGTTTCTTCATGAATCTTATTTTCTGCCCCAGCAGTAACTCTATTACTTTTTCAGGACTTTTTCTTCTTTTTCCAATTTAGAAATGCTTTAGAAATGATTGAGCTTAGTAATAACTTTGTCAAATTTTACAAGGTCATGGGTTTGGTGGGGCAGGATATGCGGTCATCAAATCCACTTATGCCTTATTTCCTTTCCAGCTAAGGAAATGCCATATTTCAGTTTAAATTGAACCTCAAGCAAAAGTCCTCCTTCCAAACCCAATCTCCTTGCTTCTTCAGAACTCCAGGGTTCATCCGTGTCTCCTCCTTACTGTTCTTTTGGCCTTTCCTGGCATAGAATCTCCTTTCTCCAACAACCTTTCTTTACCTACACCTGTGCCAGCACCTTTCGGTCTGCCTCTGGTGGTTCCTGGCTGTGATGTGGGTATCATTTCCAACCACAGGGTAAACTACTTGAGAATGAGGACCACGCCGTTTACACCTGTTTCTTCCAAGCACAGCCCCTCTATTGTCACAGATACTCAGCCATCAAATCCTCAGTAGCGTCACTGTGGGGAAGGGGGAGACATTCTCATTTCACAGTCAGATCTTAAAATGAATGATTTGAAACAATGTCCGCTACACATTGTGTACACAAAGGTTTTTTCCAAATGTTTTTTTTCTCTCCTCCAGACATATTAATTCTCTTCTTGCTAGGTTGATTTGACCTCAGATTACTCATTATTTGCCAAATGAGGTCACCTCCTCTTTCAGGGTGTCTTTACTTGAGTTCTTTAGAAAGAAGCTTACAGAATTCTGAGCAGGCATCAAGAGACAAAAGTTATGAGGTAAAAACATGAAGATGTGTACTATAAAATTTTTCTGCCGACTAGAGTTAAAATTTCAGTCCACAAACTAAATATTTTTCCAGGCAGCACAAATAACCAGTTGGATTACTTTTCTCCCACTGAATATAATAAAGTCATTATTTCATTATCAGGAAGACATGGGGTAATGATTTTTGAAACATTCCATGGAGACACATGCAGGCTTTAAAGTTCTCATGAAGTATATGCCCCAAAATGATGACTTTAGTTAGTGATATAAATCAAAGCTGATATTTCCATAAAAACAGCAATTCATAAGGGGTTAAAACCTTGATCAAGGACCCAGTGCTCAAATGTGCACAGAATTACCTACAAATATATTGCTTAATGAATAATAAGTAACATATTTGTACAAAGTCAGAATCACTTAAATGAGTTGATACCATCGCCATTCGCAAAGTTGTTTTTTAAAAGATAAAGTTTACTGTGCAGAGGTCTTTCTCATCTCATTCATAATACTGGACATTTTTATTGCAACAAATCAGAAGTTGCAATGAAATCAGAACTTTCTTCTGTCTTCATCTTATTAGCCTGAGAACCTTTATCTATAAAGAGTACTTGATTTTAAATGTATAAAACCAGTCAAATTTCCCTTAGCTTTTTCAGCCTTTGATTCCTACCTCCAGGGCATTGGTGCCACAATATCCTAAATCTCAAAGACAAGTTTGGTAGCATAATTCAAAAACATTCTTCAGTGAGTTTTTTTTTCTGAAATCCACAAACTTTAAAGTCAACTTCTGGTTCTGCTCTTTCTCTTAAAACTGGTGATAATGATCACTGGTCCATCCCGTTCCTGTATATGAAAGGATTGAAAACAATAAGTAATGAAGGTTTTAAAAGCAGAAATCTTACATTTGATGTTTTTGTTTTGCTTTTGTTTGGGATATATGTGTGTGTGTGGTACTGGGGTGCTGAACTCAGGCACACGTGCATGCTAGGTAAGTGCATTAGCCCTGATCTAAACCTCTAGTTCTCACATTAAAATGAATGTGATGTTTCCAGGAGTTAGTTGAAACACATGTTTCCTAATTCAAACAATGCTATTCTTACATAAGACATTTTCTGAATTTCTATTCTTGATAATGCCATCAGAGCCCACCTACCTCCCCTTTAAGAAAATTGACGTTATCACTGCAGCAATTCCTTTACCTGATGCCTCTTCCACCACCACCCACCCATCTTCTTGGTTTTGGTACCACTCACTTCCCCATGTGGGATCTGCTGCTGTCTGAGTCCCTCCTACTCTAACAGTACATGAGTGAGTTGACCCATGGAGACCATCAGCTGCATTAAATATAGAAAAAGGGTGGGAAATTTTGTTGCTGTGACTGAAAGATCTGACCAGAACAATTTTAGAGGAGGAAGAGTTCACTTGAGGGCTCATGGTTTCAGAGGTCTTAGTCCATAGAAGACCAGCTCCATTCCTCAGGGCTACAGGTGAGGATGAACATCATGGCGGGAGAGGGTAGTGGCAGAGGCCAGCAGTTCACATCACAGATCAGGAAGCAGAAAGACTCCTCTGACCAGATACAAATATATACCCAAAGCCATGCCCACCTCCTCCAGCCACACCCTACCACTTCAGTTACCACTCAGTTAATCTCTATCAGGGGATGAAATCCCTGATAGGGTTAAGGCTCTCACAACCCAATCGTTTCTTCTCTGAGCCTTCTTGCATTGTCTTACACGTGAGCTTTCAGGGAACACCTCCCATCCAAACCATGTCATCATGATAGCTTCAACTGTTTGATGTTGGCAATAGCTAAGATTCTACCGGGGTGAAAAGAATTAGCAAGATGCCGGGAGAGCTCAGCATGAGCAGCCCCTCTTCTTCTCTGACTGTGGGAAGACTACACATTCCTATATTAGGCCCACATTTGATTCTTTGCACCCAGATGGAGTGATGACCACTCATTAAAGACGCAATTTCAACATGGGCTTGTGACTGGCTTTACGTGCATATACTTAATATATAGGTTCACAGATATATCCTCTTTACTCTTGGGGATGAAAAATGAAGGATACTGTCCATGGGACAGGTGTTCAATTTAGATTTTGTCAATAATGTTTTTAAAAAGAGTGAGCAACAGACAGAAGCTTTAATCTCAATCAAGCCTCAGGGCTGCTTTGTGAGATAAGAGTGCAGGAGAAGTCAGGAATATTCCATTTCAATGCTGGGCCTGTGTGGGGTTAGTTTCTAAAGCGCCTTTCTCTTCCTGCTGCTCAGCTCTTGAGAATGCTCTGCTAGAGTCTGTATTTCATAAAACCCAGCCTCCTCTCTGTGACATCTAATAGCCATCAAGGCACTGATTTATTTTCATGTCAAGCTCTGGGCAGTTCCTAGATGAGGGAGCCATCAGTCCTAACAGCTCTTCAAGTCAAAATAGGGGAGGGTGGAGGCATGTCACACACCCACCGACCTTTTGTGTAATCTGTGAGTGACTCGACAGATGGGGCTTTGAGCTCCGATGGATTTTTATTTCTTTAAGGCCATGATGAAGCCAGTGATTTGTCTCAAGCAAGACAACATGTAGAACTACTCACGTCACCATTTTGGCTTAATGTCAGCAGCTCAGGATAATCACATCAGACGTGTTAATGAAGAGAATCAAGATTATGATTTATTCATTCAGTCAGTAATTATTTATGGCCCTCCCGTTAGGTGCAAGAAATAAATAACATGAATAATCACCACTCACATTTATCTTGCTGGAGGCTAAGCACCAGAGCACATGCTGGACATCCATCATTTAATTTAATACTCACAATGACCCTCTGAGGCGGGTGCTTTTTGTCTCTGAGAGAAGTTACAAGGGCTGGGAGTGTAACACGGTGGTGGAGCACTTGCCTGGCAAGTGCAAGGCCCTGGGTTCAATCCCCCATGCCTCTGTGCTCTACCCCAAACACACACATCACGTAACTTGCCAAGATTATGTGGCTAGAAAACATCAGAGCTAAGATTTGACCCTAAAGCCCAAGACTTCAGTATTCTAGCGTACTGCCTCCCAGCACAGAGTGAAAGTCATGTGTGGTTCTCAGTGGGGACGTCTTTCCAGAAGGGATGGTGTTTCAACTGACCATTGAAGAATAAGTAAGAAAGGGTGAGGAATTCCAACAGAAAAGAGGCCGGAACACCGTGTAGGATGGATTCAGAGTGCAGCATGTCTGGCGCATATGATGCGAGTTCTGAGTGGGAGGAGGACCGTGTTTGCCCTATCAGGTTCTAGGTGTTTGGAATGAGTTCCTTCACTTTTAAAGAAGGAATGCATTTGTGTATGTGTTTATCCTCAACAAGAGGGGCTGTGACTCCCATGCGGATTGATGCCCATCATGGGCTCTCTCTTTCACCTATTTTGCTGAAGCATCGGTTGGGGTCATGATGTTCTGTATGATGATTCTGCACCAAAGGGATTAGGAAAAAAGAAATGACTCCCTCCTGATGCAACATGCCCAGGGCTTCTCAGTAAATCCCAGCCTCAGTTCCTACGACAAGGTAGGGGTAGCTCAAGGCACCTGCAACTGCGGGGACTTCTATGAAGAAAACCTTGAGTGAATTAGAGGTGGAGGGCTGATCAGTGTTCTAATTATAACATTTGTATTCTCTTTCAGGTGCATGGTTGGCTATGTGAATGCCAGCTTGTCTGTGTTTCGAATTTCTGACTTTGAGAACCGGTCTGAGCCTGAATCTGATGGCAGTGAGTTCTCAGGAACTCCTCTCAAGTACTGCAGGTAAGTGTGGAACTCTGAGAGTGGCTCTGCCTGAGCTGGGCTCAGTGTCCCAAGGGGAGATTTTGTTCCCATACCCCTTTCTGGTTAAGTGGGTTTAAAATGGTGGTTCACAGCTTTGACTGTGCATTTATAGATCCCCTGTGGAATTTTAAAAAAACACCTCCTGTCAGGGTGCTAACCAAGCCAACTAAAACAGACTCCCAGGAGCTAAAACTCAGATATCAGTAGTGTAAAGCACCCAGGTGCAGTTGAAGTTAGAGAACTTCTGGTTTAAAGGGGAAAACTGATAATATAGTGGTGAAGACTTATATAGCTGATCCAAGAACAGGTGGTTTGAGTGCCAGTTGTTGAGAGCACTTGTCCTGGTTCATTTCTCCCTCTTGTCCATACTGAAAAACATGACATTTCCAAATGTTCAACAACTCAGAGGTATGAGCAGAGTCCCAGATGGTTGCAGATTCTACCTTAGTAGCCTCTGCAACACATGTTTACTGTCACTCTGTCTCCCCCTCTAAGAGGAAATCAAGCTGTTCCTCTTGATATTTACCTATTCAATATTATGTGAACAAGAATTTGTTGAGCACCTACCATATGCCAGGAACTGTTATTTTACTTAATAATCACATCAACCTTCAAAGGTAGGAAGTATTATCCCAGATGAGAAAATTATTTATCAAAAGCTTAATGAATCAAGTTCAAATGCATCTTTTCTCCTACTACTTTGGTTGATGTTATAAGAATTTTATGGATTTCCCATCATGATATTCTGCGCTTTCCCAGTAGCAAAAACATGAGGACCCTTGGATAGAGGGACTATGTAATGATAATTTCAACCCCTCATTGACAGCATGGGAAGCAGAGGACCCAGTCATGGTATTTGATTTGTCTAAAAAGACACACAAGACTGGAGGTAGAATTCAAGGCTCCTAACTTTCATCATAGTGTTTTTTTTTTAAATAGATTCATTAGCAAAGGGACCACATGCCACTCTGTAACACTCTCCCACATGCCGCAAAGACCTGGAAAGGACTCTCTGGGAAGAGCTGTAATACCGAGGCTCCAGTGTAGTTCTTTCTGGAGTTAATAAACAATGCCCTTGGATAGGAATTTTCAGCTTTCTGTGAGCCCAAATCAGATGACCCTTCTTTTATAAGTTACCCTCTTAACGACACTCTGAAAACTGTATTCGCCAGTTCTCTTTCTTTTGCCTATAGTTCTTTTCTCAGTGAAATGGGCAAAGGCATATAAGCTAGATGTTGGGACATACAGAAGCCCAGATTTGTTTGCTTAGTCCCAGTCTAAGAAGCTAGACCCTAGAGAGTGGAAAGTGGTTTGGCCCTAAAAGAACAAGCGACACACTCTATACTCATCATGTTGACAATGGAGACATGAATGTCCAATGAACCTGGGCACGAACAGCTAACTCCAATAGGACAAGAAATCATAAGAGAAGCCAGGTGGGCCCCATTGCTATGCAGCAACAGCACATAGTCCACCCCTTTAAATACTCATACCACGTCACGGGTGATCCAATGACTGTCAGGTGACACCAGATGACTTCTTTCCTCCTTCCACATGGATGAACAAGTCAAATGAGGAAAAGTGGCTGGAAAATAGTACAGTCCTGCTCCCTGCTGAAGGCTGGTTGGGGAGTAAGCAACCAAGCAAAGGTAGTTGATGCCTCCCTGCTTCAATAGATGTTCCATGTGCTCATGAGACCACATACATAGAGTGATCAAGCAAGCAATGCTGGAGGCATGCAGGAGTCCAGGTATAAAACGGTTCAAAATAAAACACCAAATAATTTTTGAAGAACCTTTCAGTCATTAATAAATAAGATAAAATGGAGAGCCTATCTCAAGTTTTGCTTCCTGACTCATAATTCTTCCTATTTGCCCCACATAATAGCATAAAATACCTTCTACAGATTAGTAATATGAATGGGATTGTCAATGCTGTTATCATTAATTTAAATTATGGATGTTTTGTTTAGCATTATCTAGTGTAAAACTATATTAAAATAGTATTTTCAGATTTATTCAAAGTTTCTAAATTGAGGGTTATATATATATATATATGTGTGTGTGTATATATGTGTATATATATATATTCAGACAAATATGTATATATTTATTGATGTGTGTGTGTGTTAATGATAAAGATAAAATTCAGGAGAGAGGAAGCAGGGAAATGGGATGGAATACAGAGGTGGGTTGGATGTATATATTCCATCATGAAAAATAGAATAGAAACATGGGACTTCTATTTTCAGTCATGTAACAGGTGTACTTGAAACAGCTCTCAGGCTGAAAACTTCTGAACATGTGGATTAAATTTTTTAAATATCTTCTCAAGTACATTAATGACCTAGGAAGAAAAATTGGTATCCTCTAGCCAAAACTAAATGAAGGCAGAACCCAGAGTAGTATGCAGATCGTTGCAGCCAACTTTTACCCAAAGAGTGCCGCAGTCTGGCTGGGCACAAATCACGATCCACTCAAGAGGAACAAATTTTATTTCTGAACTCCACCAGCACACTCCACACACGTTCCCGGGAACTCTCCCGAAAGCCCCGCGGCTCCTCCAGGAACCACCAACCGGAAATCCCTCCTACGGCACTTCCCCAACCAATGCGAACTCTTCAGGAATCCCCACGAGAGCTCAACCGGAACTCAACGGGAACTCTGGGAGAACTCAAAAGCCATCATTTTAATGGCTTGCTGGCGTCACCTCTCAACCACTACTTCTGGCAAAAATGCCATGCGTCACCCCGACTCCTCTGTGGCCCTCAACAAAAGAGAACTTGTTGCACTGGGTGGTCTTGAGTTTTGTTTCAAGGCCTTCCATGGTTTGAGAAGCGGAGAGAAAACATAAGTGACCACTCCATGAGTAAATCTAAACATATACTATATAAACGACTGTACAATATGCACACAGATATCTGTTGTACAGCAGTGAAAAGTTAGCTACATGCATCTTGTAACGTGGTACTGTAAAAAATAAGCCCCAGACAACTATACAGTATAGTGTCCTTTGGTCACATTCAAAACAAATGAAACTAAGCAGTATAATATGCAGACAAATGTATGGATATATACACGCACACACAAATATGTGTTGATCAAAACGAAATTCAGCAGAGGGGAAGCAGAGGAAGGGGATGAAGGAGGAGTATAGAGGTATCTGTAAGTTCCTGGTAGTATTTTAGTTTGGGGGCTTCATGTTGGATTTATGAGAGTTCTTTATATGATTAAAGTATTAAATAAATCAATATGAAAATTAATTAAAAGAGGACCATGAATGAAACAAATTCATCTTGTAAAAATTAAGAATTATGATTGGGCCAATCCTTTGTACCTGAGGATCTTAATGATGTATAGAAATGAAAAGGATAAAGATATTGTTGTGGTTATCAGATACATAGAAAATGGGATAAAATTGAGACCTCAAAAGTATATTGCACAACTAGAGATGCCATTGCAGAAAAAGTGTACACAGTATGACTTCATCCTTATAGAGTTCAAGGAGAAAACCCAAGCACTATTTATTTAGGAAAACCTATGTAGGTGGCAAAACTCTAAAAGAAAATCGAGAGGATGGTTGTTACAAAAATTAGAATAGCAGTGACTTCACAGGGTGGCTGGGAATGGGAGCAAAGAATTTATAAACCACTGATCACGTTCTATGTCTTAACTTGGGTGGGGGTCCCAGGAGGTTCACTTTTCACTCTTTCTGATACATATCTACTCTCATTTTCACAGTTTGAAAATGGGAATGAAGTAACTATACCTGCTGGTGCTAGAAAAATGTTGTTTACAAGCCAGTCATCCATTTCTTAAGAAACAGAGGCAGCTTTAAGAAATGCATCAACTTAAGCTAAAAGGGAATAGTCTGCCTTCCTATATGTAAAAATGAAGCCAAGAACTGAAAAGTCATTTTCTGAAAACAATTCTGAGTCCCTTCGAAAATTTTCTTCCAAACATTAATGCCACTGGACTACCTAATGTCTTTGAAGATTAAAAGAGTATGACTTTGATTTTATTAGCTTTGAAACTCGTCTTCATGGCTGTTTCTACAGCAGCAGAAGGAAGTGTTTTCTTTGTACAAGTGCCAAAGAACAGGAAACCAGTCATTTTGCAAATACATAGCACCACATCAAAAGAAGAGAAACAGGGCTGGAGGTGCAGCTTAGTGGTAGAATGCAAGAGCTTAGCATGCAGGAGGCCCTAGGTTAAGTTCCCAGTGCAACAAACAAAATAAAAGGCCCAGATGGCATCTGCCCATGGCCTTTTTCCAAACTTCTGCCTAATGGAAAAGATCAGTAGAGTTAGAGGTAGGCTTAGGTTGAAGCAGGAACTGAAAGCATTTGCAATAATACTCTGCAAAAGCATATAATAAAAGAATTGTAGTCCAAATTTTTAGAGTAGTGTGTGAGACAGAAAGACTCCAATTCTATATATAGGGAAAACTGATGTATCAAAAAGAATTCTCAGCCATAGTAAGCACTATTGTATAAAAGCTTAAGTTGTCAATCGAGACAACTCTAGAAACAGTTTAAGATCCTTTCTTTTACATACTTTTGTCTAATAGTCAGACATATGTATGATAAATGCATATTGCTACTTTACTTCTAGAATATTTACTTGGGCTGTATCTGAAATGCAGATAACTAAAGCAAAGGAATTAACATTTGTTTTCTATACTGCAGAAAACACAATTCCTGGTTATTGACTAGGTGTACCCTACAAAAAATAAATGGAGGGTAGAATAATCCATGCAGACTTTTAGTCCTGAATAAAGAATAAAAAATTTATTCTTCCTAAAATTTCATGCACAGTTATTGGACCTGTGGAGAGACAGATTATATAACCATGTGTTAGAATAGTGTTTTAGATGGTCACCTAATCCTCCTCACCAAAAAGAGAACCAGGAATTTGAAGGCTAATAAATTTCTTCTTAATTTCTTCATCACAAGTATCACTCTAATGATAAATAATCATGATACATATTGCTATGTATCCATCCATAGACACTAATACTAATTAAGATGGTAATTGTGATGATGATAATTGTGACAGCTCATAATTTTTTTTCTCCTTAATATGTTTCAAAGATACTCTTCAGAGTACATTATTCTGTATCCTCATATGGAAATCAGCGTTGACTTTGAAATTAGAGACTGTCTCACATGAGAACCCAAATAATCGTAATTTTTTATTGAGATAGGAATTTGGGTATATCTACACAGCAAAACTGTCAAGCAACCAATAATTCCAAATCATTCTAAATTTCTAGAGATAATGTAAAGAATACTGGGTTCAAAATGCATGGAAACTTTATTACATCGACAAGTCACTTTTCAGTTTTCGCATCTATGATAGCCATGATAATGGTGAAGATAAAATAGAGACATGAATTGAAGCTCCTAGAATAGTGCCTGAACCCAAATAGGTGCTCAACAAACATCTGTGGAATTTAATGCTGATTCAAGAGCTACTGGAGGATATTTTAGGAAAGACTCTAGTAGCAAGTGGAAGAATCCAGTGTAAACTGATTTAAGCACAAAGTGATTTATTGTTTCAGAAAAATCAGAAAGTAGAGAGGGGATATGGGCTTTAGTAACAACTGGATCTCAAAACATGAGTGAGGTCAGTAGGACCCTACCCCACTGCTGGTTCCACTTTGTTTTAGTTACTCCATTCTCAAATAGGCTCTCTCTCCCCATACAACTTATGATGGCCACCAGCAATTCCAGTCTTTTACCTCTGGCGGACTTAGTGATAATCCACATGGTTCTAACAGATGTACTGATGATGAGTCTTACTGATGAAGTCTGGCTCATCTTTGAGCTGAGAGCGGGAGGGGCAAGACCTGTCCAACCCCATGGATGATTCCCCAGAGGAGAAGAGATATTATTTTACCAGAAGAAGCTTTTCACACTTTGCTCCAATGAATGAGGACTATCTAGTGGGGCTGGGAGAGATTTGAGGGTCAGAAAAAATCATACTTTGGAATGTATCTTTCTCTTGTGCATTTATAGATACAGAGACTACCGGGACCCTCCTCATTCACTTGTGCCCTATGGCTACACACTGCAGTTCTGGCACGTGCTAGCAGCCCGATTGGCTTTTATCATTGTGTTTGAGGTAAGTTTTCTCCACCATTTCCACTGTTTTCTTTAACCTAACGAAGTCACTAGAAGCCATCCAAAAGGCTAAGTGATGAGTATCTGCAATGTGACTATCTACTTCCAAAGGTAGCATCATCATATTATGTTGTATTTTTTTATCTTTTTTTTTCTTTAATTGAAATATTTGAATTTTCAAAGAAATATTTGCAAGTCCATTACTGATTGGTTGTTAATGGAAAAGTCAGAAATCATTGGTTCTAAATTTAATATTTCAGGACCATGATTCTTAAACTTTAGGAAAAATACAATGTTTCCCACTGCTATTTATAGAAATGCTGGTACTTCATGACTAAGATTTTTTTTTTCACTAGCCCTCCATGATGATTCTGTTGCAGGAATTCAAGGAACATAGTTTGGAAGCATTGAAATGAATGAATATTACAAGTGGTACCTCTGATTGTATGTCATCATGGAATTATTTATACTCAAACACACAAATAAGTACTCATTACCTAAGATTCAAAATACTTATAAAGTATAATCTTCCTAGCAATTTCTTGTATTATGTGTCAATAAAAATATATCATCTATTTCCTTTCAGTCTTTTAGAATAGTGCTATTAAAATAGTTGGCATTCCTGCAACTCTAGTCATAAATGTAAATTTTCTTCATAATTTGGAGACTATTCCATCGTGGTTATTTTCTCCACTCCACGGAACTAAGAAAAGATAATATTAAGCAGCTTTTTCCTGAAAATTAGCTTCTCGATGGGTCAGTTACTTTTTGAAGATTTTGTTTTTTGGTTTTGGTATTGGTGATTAAACCCAGAGCCTCTTTACTACTAAGCCACATCCCCAGCCCTTATTAAAAAATGTTTTTTGAGTCAGGGTTTCCCTGAGTTGCTTAGAGCCTTGTTAAGTTGCTGAGGCTAGCCTCAAACTTGTGATCCTTCTGCCTCAGCCTCCCAAGTTGCTGGGATTACAGGTATGTGCCACCACACCCAACTTGAAGATGATATTTTAACCTAACAGTCTTGACAGTTTTTCAGACAAAATAACAAGGGAGCTTCACTTGGTTAGTATTCAACTTTTCAAGAAGAACTTTTCCTTTTCTCTCAACATGCCATTATTAATTATTTCAAAATAATAGCAGACTGGGGTTATAGCTCAGTGGTGGAGCGCTTTGCCTAACACATGTGAGGTTCCATCCTCAGCACCATATAAAAATAAATCAATAAAGGTATTTTGTCTATCTACAACTAAAAAATATTGAAAAAATAAATAAAACTACCGGAGACACACAGAAAAGTTTCTTAATTGGCCGAATTGTATGTAATCTATGTGCCAAGTTTGTCAAGTTTCAAATAAAATGAAGAATCGTTAGCACAACCATTGAACACGATTTTTGTCATTAATAAATACTTAAGAACTCTAAAGGCCTTTACATTGTCATCTGGTACTTTATTGGTCTCCAGGATATAGATGAACAGAAGTCACCATGATTCTAAAGTTACACCTATTTGTATTTCAGATAAAGAATTTGGGGCAGTTTTACCAAAAACTGAAAGGAGCATTTCCCTGGATCTACTGATAATTCTTACTACGACCAAGTTTCATAAAAAAATTTGGCCATCTACAAAGCATTTTTAAATGTCTTCTTATGATTTCCACTGTACCACATATTCTATAGATGAGTGAATGGAGGCTCAAAGCAGTTAAGTGACTTATCAGATAGACAGATGCTCTGAGATAGTGAGAGCTGCCGAGCCAGACCCACTCCTAGGTTTCCTGATTCCAGGGTGGAGGATCTTCTGGGTCTCCTTTGAACTCTCCAGGGGTGCCTTCCATACCTTCTCCCCTGACTGCTCCTCCTCTTCCCTGGGTGGAGCACTCAGACCCTGTTCAGCTCTCACCCATCCGTGGTCTTTTCTCCGCTGCCTCCCCAGCCCCATCCCACTTCCCACACACCCCACAGGCTCCTTCTCCAGCCAACCCCCGGAGCTCCTTCCGGAGCAGGATGGACCACACACCTGACTCTGCTGTGTTCTCCTCTGTTGTGTTTCTAGCACCTCGTGTTCTGTATAAAGCACCTCATTTCCTATCTGATCCCAGACCTCCCCAAAGATCTGAGGGATCGCATGAGGAGAGAGAAGTACCTGATCCAGGAGATGATGTACGAGGCGGAACTGGAGCGCCTCCAGAAGGAACGAAAGGAGAGGAAGAAAAATGGAAAAGCACATCACAACGAGTGGCCGTGACCAGGTAGGGCAGAGGTGTGCGCCTGGCCAGGAGCCTGGGGATGGGAGGGGCTGCTTTAAACCCTGAAACAAAGCTCACCATGGTCCCAGTAATCGGGATTAAAATAAGCTCCTTAGAAGCTTCCAAAACCAGTTTGTTCCCTGAATCTTTGCAACTTGATCTTCCCCTGCTTCTCACCTCCAGATTGCTCTTCTCACCTCCCTGCAGACTCTGGCCTGACAGTCATGGCCTTTATGAGCTGGCCCAGGTGTTCCCTGAGTTAGCCTTCCTCTCCCTCTACTCCAGCCGGGAGGTTCTCTTTAGCATCCAGGACCACACACCCCGTTTTCTGGTTGAAGTCAGCTTTTCATCTCACCCAGCATGACCTTGCCTCCACCACCCATGCAGTGCTTCCTGATCCACGGCACCCATACCCTCCAAGAAGTCTTCCCCAGACTGTCAGCCTATTGACATTCCTCCTAAACAACTCTGCTTATTGCCATCAGTGCTACATATATTGAAATACACTGATTTGTATTGTTAATTTATGGACTTTGAATAGTTCTCAACCTCCTTCAACATAATTGTAAGTAATCGAAATCTCTATGGAATATAATCCTTATTCTTCCAACTAGCTAGCGTAATATTAGACACAGGGCACCTAATAAATGCACTTCGATTAATGAAGGTAGGATGGATTAAGGTGAGTACATTGTGAGAAAACTCCATAATGTTCTCACACATCCTACCAAAAGGTTCTGAAACTTCCTCCCTGACCTTGGATAAGTCCATTTCTCTAGACCTCAGTGTCCTCAGTGATGAGATATTTACAGCAGCTCCCTGTTCTGATACTCCATGAGCTAGTATTATTACAGAATTTCTTTTGTTTCCTTGCCTTTCCATTCTCTCTCCTTCATGTGATTGAAAAACGATTTTTAAGGCATTTTCCAAATTTGGCCTCCAAAGGAAAAACAACACACATAGGGGAACACTGTGTTCTTTACTTTCCCTGTAGGCGAAGATGTAGGAGATAACCTGCTCAGGCATTTGTGGTTAAGTTAATAAATGTGTATCAACCCAGTTCCATGTTAATTGTCCAAAAGGTTATTATGAGTTGAATAATGAGGATGGACTTGGAGAAAATAGCCTAGACCCAGGCCCACGGGAATAAAAGTGGTACCTAGATGTTGAATACTCAAGTCCAAACTGCACTCTGGCTTCACTAAAGGCAAGAAAGGTTTTGCTAGCCATAATCTAGCATATCTGCTATATGGCTATGTGACTTTAGGAAGATTGTGAACATCCCTGAGCCTGCCTATTGAGCAGAATTAACATGCAGCTCAAATAAAGTCTATAGAATACCAGCCAGGATTTGTATTGTTGTTAAGCATCATGTTGTGGTCTGCCAGAGTCTATGTCTGGCTTTTCCTTTCTCTTTTTGTGTGATTTTGCATAGAACATTCATATGGATTCAGCTTCCACATTTTCAAAAGTTAAGAAGCTGGACTAGACAATACTTTAGGAGACATTCTTGCTTTAACCTTCTGGGATTCTGTGATGTACTCCAAGCCTTTTGCCGTTTACCCATTCTGATCACCTCTTTTCTTGATCTGGTCATTTTTTTTTGGAGGAGAAAGGTCAACTCTATGCGGATGGCTTTGGGTTGGGTGGGAGACAAACATTACCAAAGAGAATTGCTCCTGAGAGCTCCGGTGGCCAGAGACCAAGGTGTAATTGAGTGGCATTATCCACACCTTGATGCTATGCTGGCTGGCAATCAAAATCACTGCAATTCCTTCTGGCCTCACCCCTACCGGCTGCTTTCCTCCCACAGGGACCATTGTTCATTTTTTTCTTGAAAGCATCGTGCCTGTCACCATTCCCAAGACAGTCGCCATGTTGCTTCACTTGTGCTCTCTGACTCAATCTGCTCCTCTGTAAAGCAGGCATCCTAATATTGGTGCCACACCTGACTCAGTTTGGGGTTACAAATTCCTTGAATGCCTTCTCAGGACAAAGCATTGCACATCATGGGAAGCCATGGGGCACAGCAGATCTTGATGCCTTCTTTTCCCTTTCCAGGTTATACTTCATTTCCAGGCCAAGGACCTGAATTTTGTTTACTTCTCCCAGCTGTGCAAAAGCACATTCAAGTGAATGACTAAAAATGCAACCGCAGCGCATGTTGCAGACACCGGCAGCCGCAGGGAGGCTGGGCGCCCAGTGAGGATGGGTGATGGAGTCCCACTGCTGTGAGATCACCTTGCAGTCCAGCACACAATTGCTATCTATCCATAGACAATTCTCGACCAAGCAAGCATGCACGTCACGGGCAGTTACATTCTCAAGTTTTTAAAACCAAGGGGAACTTGTATACTGGGCCTGTTTTTCAGCCTGTTTGCTACCTTTTTTGCATTCGATTCCATGTGAATTTTACAGACACTGGGCTAAAAAGGGTATTTGGACACCTGGACACACATTCCTTGGATATCATCATGTGGTCCTAATTCCCTGTCACCAAATGACACAGACAAGACCCTGTTTACAACTTTTTTTTTCTTTTTTTTTTAATTTCAGATCTTTCTGAGGAGATTATTAAATATGACATATCTATAGCTATGTGTATGGCCATAGATGTATTTCTGTGTGTACATATGTATAGTCATATATTCCTACATATGTACATACAAATACAGAGATATATAAAGTACATAGAAATTCCTTACTTGTAAATAGCCAAAACGTACTGACATGAATGATGAATTTTCACATTTAAATAGTCATCAACATGAAGCCATGTTTAATGCTTGTATAATGTGATGCAATAAAATTTAAAATAAATTTATGCACATGGAATATTTTCAGCTGGCTGTCCTGAAATTCTGTTGTATTTTCTTCTCATAGACTAAGGGCATCATAGCAGAGTGTGACCTTCAGTGTGAGGTCTATCAAACCCGCAACGCACCTGAGAAATTACTTCACCCTCCAGAGAAGCTATATTATTTTCTTTGTCACCTTTTCCATCTATCTTCTTGGGATATCAAACAGATTAATTAGAAATCACTATGAAGAGCATGAAAACGCAGTTTGTGGATATTGGAATATAATAATTGATAGTTACTTTTATGACCCTGCCTACTAGCGCGTTCTAACTTATTCTAGGAAGGAGCTGCCTATTTGGGGAGCAGGAAATATATTGTAATTACTATCTTCTTCAGGAACTACAGAATCTATCTTGTTAAAAGTGTTTAAAATTTATTTTTATTTTATGTTTTTGAGCTATACAACATGATATTTTGATATATATCACATAGTGAAAAGATTACTACAGTCAAACAAATTTGCAGTTCCATCACATTAATATATGTATGTTGCTTTCACAAAATAACTGAAACTGGGTACTTTCTAAAGAAAAGAAATTTATTTAGCTCATAGTTTGGGGGCTGAAAATTCAAGATTGGGTTTTTTGTTTTGTTTTGTTTTGGTTTTTGTCCTCTAGTGAAGGAAACTCAGGTTGCAACCTGACATGGCAGAGAAATAAAAAGGGAAACAGCCATGTACAGAAGAAGGGGAGATCGTATGCTGACACAGGAAACCAGAGAGATTCAGGAGTCAGGCTTGTTCTTTTGATTGTGACCCACTATGACAAGAACTACCCGGGATCCCCTGAGAACTACATTGATCTTTTCCAGTGACCCACCTCTTCCCAGGCCCTACTTCTTAAGGGTTCCACCTGCCTCAACACTGACAACTGGAAACAAGCTTTCAGCACATGAAGCTTTGAGGGACACACAGTCAAACCAGAGAAACTATCTTCCTTAGTTACTTCTGAGTGTGTGTGACCTTAACTACACACCAGTTGGGAAAGATGAGAGTGCCCCCATTACAATGTCCACTAACACTGTCCCACCTTAACTGCGGACTCACCTGAGCTGACTCCCAAGGATCCCATCCCTTGAGATGGGAATCATTGCCGGAGTGGCTTTGGGTAGGCTTGAAGTTCAACCATTTCTTACTTTCATCTCTCTGCACTCCCTCTGACCTGATATTCCAGAGAGTGAAATACTAGACAGGGAAGGGCCCAAAAGAAGGACATGTACTTTATGGACACTGAAAGACAAGAGGTTATTAACAGGGTTTTTTTTTTTTTTCAGTCATTGGGTAAAATATTTCTTCCTCAGCCCTGGGAAATAAATACAAAGAGAAGCTCCAAAAGACAACTTGTATTCCTGACTCAGCACTGCGACTTTTGACTGCTGTGCCTAAAGCCCTGCCCCATGTCCATGGCCGGGGGTCCTAGGATTTGATACATCCACATCTGCTCTCCTGCTCCCCAGTGCAATGGAGGAATTATGAGCACCTCCTGGTGTTTAGTGGGCCATAAACTTTCAGAAGTAGGTATAGGACCTTTCAAGGCACTGGAAAAATAGGTGAATGTTTATTAAGTACTCTATGGAAAGAAATATCTTGTGCCTGTGGAATTCCACCTTTGTTATTCAAAGTGCCTCTGGCAATCAATTCCTGATCTGTATCTAGCATACAATTCTTTTCTTTCCTTCTTTTATCTCTTCCTCCCACCTTTCCTTCATTTCTTTTCTTTCTTCATTTCTTCCCGTTATCCCACTGAGTGCACTTATCCATCTTTCCTGTTTGTGGTACAAAGAACATGTAACAAATATCTTTAAATGCTGTTAGGTATTGGGGTGAGAAAGACAAAGCAGGTTATAGAGGTTCTAATCTCTTGGAAACTTCATAAGAAATAAAATGTTTGTAGGACATATTTATGAGGCATGAATTTCAATACATACATGGAGTGCACTGATCAAATAACAGTAACTAATGTTTACGTCTCCTCATCATTACGCTGTGTTTAGAGTCTTCAAGCTCTTCTAATTATTTATAAAATATATAATACATTATTGTGAACTATCATACTCTAACTCAGTTATATATAATTATTACATGTTAATAAAAAATTTTCTTTAAATGTTGGAGATGGGAATATAAACTACCCTGATTT